TTCAGAACGAAGATCGCGCCACGGCGCCTGCGCGCGCGCCCCCGATCTCGGCGGCCGACGCGCGCGCCCCTGCCGAAATGCAACGCGCCCTTCATTCGAGCCCCGCTGCTGCGGAGCCACCTACTCCACAACCAAATCGTCTGGGGAGCTGTTCGGTCCCCAAACTACTGGTTCTTCAGCCCCCCGGCTCTTGCGAGTCCGCCCTCCTGACAAGGGCAACCTTCACATGGGTGCACACAATGGGGTGTTGATTGAGAACGCCCCATGTGACTGGTGGCAGGAACGGACGAGGGGGGGGCGGAGACGGAGGCGAAGCGTGAGGGGAGGGCAGGACGAACACAGAGGGAGAGGAGCAGGACGAGACCTGGCAGGGGATATGCACCAGGAGAGAGATCTCATGGAGGAAGAGGAGGGGAGGGGACGAGAGGCACTCATAATTAAGCGCACACAGGCCCTCGCACTTGCCCCATTTCTCAGCGACCGCCGCGCCGCCATGAGAACTGTCGCACCACCGCCACTACTGCGGCGGATGCGTGACCTCTCCCATCCCTGTCCTGTGCTGTTTCTGCTACCACCCTCCCCCCCCAGCCAAACTCGGGTTTCAAGCTCGGAGACGGGCGCGGCTGGCGGCTCTTAGTGCGGGTGCGCGTGCTGCCTCCAACTCCTCATCCCCCTCCTCCTCCTCTCCTCATCCTCCCTCCTCTTCCTCCTCGTCCTCCTCTATCGGCCCAGCTCCGATCGCCGCTCAGCTCCCCTGGTGCGGCTGGCGGCAGAAGTGCCGAATATTGCCTGGGATGTCCTTCGCCGTCTTCTTCGACATCTCAAGCATCATATTGCCCTTCTCCTCGGCACGGCGCGCCTCCTCCATCATCTGCCGCGCCTGGTCGACGAGCATCTGGCCCTTGACTCCAACGGCGCGTGCGTGGCGGCAACGATTGCGCCGCTCGATGAACCGCGCGCCACCATGGTCGCCCAGCTCCAAGCACTGCCATCCGCCGCGATGAACTCGAAGTCATCGACGTCGCACTTGCCCGCGATGCTCGCCATAGCGGCGCAAGACCGCGAATGGGCCTCCTCTGGCAGCCCCCGCTGCTGCGGAGACTTCGGCAGAGGCCCCCGCGCGGTTCCGTCGCGGAGGCGGGCGGGCGCGGCGGGGGGCAGACCTGCAGCGGCTGCGGATTCACTTTATCACATTGCCATCCCTCCCTGCACTCACATGGCTTTTCCCATTGCGCCAGTCTGCTGCTCCCACTTCTGAACTACCTCATCCCTTCTACCTCCACCTGCACCCTCCTCTTCCTGTTCAATCCCCCCTCCTCCCTCCACCGAGCTCATTCCTCCTTGCTCCCTTCTCTGCTCCTCCTACGTGGGGCGTTTCACGACAACGACGACGACGACGACGAGGGCGATGACCACGACGGCGACAACGAGGACGACGACGACCACGACGACGACGACGAGGACGATGACCAAGACGGCGACCAGCGACGACGACTAGCGACGACGACGACCGACGACGACGACGCCGACCACGACGACGACGGCGACGACGACAACGAGCGACGACGACGACGACAATCGACGCCGACGAGGAACGACGACGACGAACGAGGACGACGATTACGACGACGAGATGACGAAGGTTCGAAGATCGAACCTCGAAGTGCGAAGTTTCGAAATTCAAACTTCGATCTTCGAACTCCGAACTTCAAACTTCGAACTGCGAACTTCGATGGGGTGCCAGGGATGCAATGGGATGGAGGGAAAAATGGGAAGGAGAGAGCGAGGAAGCGGGAGAGGAAGTTGGAGGAGAACGAACAGGCGTGGAGCGACGAGGAACGGGCGGCGAGGGGCCGACGTTGAGGGCGGCGGGATGGGGGGACAGGGAGGAGAGGGAAGACTTCAGAACGAAGATCGCGCCACGGCGCCTGCACGCGCGCCCCCGATCTCGGCGGCCGACGCGCGCGCCCCTGCCGAAATGCAACGCGCCCTTCATTCGAGCCCCGCTGCTGCGGACCCACCTACTCCGCAACCAAATCGTCTGGGGAGCTGTTCGGACCCCAAACTACTGGTTTGCCAGCCGCTGCTGCGGACGCCGAGGGCCTGGTGCTGGACGCCGCGGCCCCGCTGATGCGGGGCCCCTGAGACGGCGTCGGCCTCCCCTTCTCTCTGGCGGCGTCGAACTTGACCTTGCGCTCCGCACCGAGGTCCTTGTGCCAGCGATAGGTTCCTGACCCGTCGCTCCCGCCCAAACCCGCGGCTGGTGGCCTCACCGTGTCCGCGTGGGGCATGAGGGGCAGAGCTTCGACCTTCCTGTCGCCCCAGTGCGGGTGTAAGCGGACGCCTGTCCCGTCGTCGCGGTGCAGCGCGAAATCCCACATCGGCAGCTTCACTTTCACCCGCTGCCCCGCGAACTGTCGCGCGCGCACAATACTCTGGCGCATGTGGTCGTAGCTGTTTGGCCGGACTTCGAGGGGGCAGCCGATCAGAGCCCCGCTGCTGCGGGGCCCCCCCACGACCTCCCTGATATCTTCCTCCCTGAGCGTCGCCGCCATCTCCTGCCGCCGCCAAGGGACTTCCTCGTCGCTTCTGAAACCAAAGCTCGTTCTCGCACCGTGGTCGCAAATAGCGACCATGGTGGGCTCCGCATTGTCAAACCACTTGGCTTCTGACTCGAACGGGGCAGTTGGGTCTTCATTCAGGTGGCGCCACCATTTCAACGCTTGGTTGTGTTGCTTTTAAACGAAGTGCCGAGCCTCTCTTCATAACTCAAAAAAGAATTAACATCAAACTTCTCAAAATCCTGGGGCCCGCGCGCCGCCGCCGCTGCGGTGGCGCGGGGCTCCTGCGCCGCAGGCGCGGCTCGGGATCCCGACCCCCCTCCTGGAACTGCGCCTCCAGGTTCTGGTGAGTTTCGGAGGGCAGCCCTCGCGAAATTATTGAATTCGGGCATGCCGAGACCAGGGGCGCGGGGGCTCACAACGCTCAGCGCGGCGAAGCGAGACGGCCGTTGAGGCGAGACCGCCGCCGCTGCTGCGGCGGCAGGGCCATCGCGCCATTTGGCGTCCTCCGTTGGCGTGTTCCCGTCATGTCGCCACTCTCTCCAACCCCGCGCTGACCAATCATGGCCGTCCTCCCAGCCACGCCAGCCGCTGCTGCGGCTATCCCGCCATCCTTCCGCGCCACCCCATGTGTATCCGCCTGCATCGCCCATTGCAAGACGATGGCGCAGGCGCGCGTTAGGCCGCGACGGGCCCGGCTGCACCGTTGCTCACGGGCGATCCCACGGGCGCGGGATGGTTTGAGCATAGCGGCGAGGGACGACGCGATGTGATTGGACGGCAGAGAACTTGAAAGGAAGGGGGGTTGGAAACGGAAGAACGAAGTGGACGAAGAGCGGAAATCGAACCAGAGGGGGGGAAAAAAGAGCGGAAGAGAATGAGGACATGCAGACGAAGGAGAGTGACGAGGTAGATGGCGGGGCAGAACGGCAACGGAGGATAATGTGGTGGAAATTGTGAAAAGGACGCATGGAAAAACACGACGAGGATCACAGACGCAAAGATGATGAGCGCAGTGGTAGCATGACATATCCGAAATCAAGAAGCAGGATGAGGAGGAACGGGATGACGAGCAACTCTGTCACAGAGGGCCTCCAAACGCACCCCCTCTGTCACAGAGGGCCTCCAAACGCACCCCCTCTGTCACAGAGGGCCTCCGAACGCACCCCCTCTGTCACAGAGGGGGGAAATGATCACTTTAACGCGGTTTCTGGATTATCCGCTGCCCTCATCTCCGCCGTGTCGCCCAGCAGCCCACGAAAGGTGCGACGCTTGCGCACTCCGCCGCGCCCGAGGGAGCCACACGATCTCACGTAGATCTGCGCGGCCCTCCCCCATTCGCCGTGACCCCCACCAGCGCCACGGGCGCGCATGCGGGGCCGGAGGGAGCTAGCCCGCAACCGAGCTCGCCACACGGGCACGACACGAACATTGCATTCAACTGCCCAAGGCACTGCCAACACCCCCTCTCTCGACCCCCAGCCCTCCTCCTCCTCCTCCTCCTCCTCCTCCTCCTCCTCCTCCTCCTCCTCCTCCCTCCGCAGCCTCCCTCCTGCCTCCTTGAGGTGAAGCTCGTAAGACTCACAAGCTATGACACAGGACGACGAATGAGCACGGAGCGTCTGGGAGAGCTCCCGATCGGTAGCATAGGCCAGAGGCCTCTGCAACTGTATCTATATATATATATATATATACATACATACATACATGCATACATACATACATACATACATACATACGTACATACATACATACATACATACATACATACATACATACATACATACATGCATACATACATCCATACATCCATACATCCATACATCCATACATCCATACATCCATACATCCATACATCCATACATCCATACATCCATACATCCATACATACGTACATACATACATACATACATACATACATACATACATACACACACATGCATACATACATACATACACATATATATATATATATATGTATATGGATATACACTCTGAGTATCGTTCAACCGATCCCCATCCCCAGCGGCGTGGCCTGGGCCCCACTGGCCGATTTACCCCCCTAGATGGGGATATAGGTCGTTCTCTTCAGGTTTCAAGGGGTGTATCCCCAATTGGGGTGGTAATGTGGTGGGGGTCTCGAAGGCGATGGAGCTGGGGATGGGGATCGGATAAATGATACTGATACACATGTGTCGGGCCGGGCGGAAGGGGGGGATAGCAAAGGGGGGGGTTGAGAATCACCTCACGTAGCTGATTTTCCCAGCGCCTCCCGGCGCCGGAGGCGGCTATGTATCGAGGAATGGACCCCTCGGTGGGGCCGAAACCAGCTGCATGCAGCAGATTTCGTAACCCCCCCTTCCTTAATCCCCTCTTTCGCCCGGCCCGAAGGTGTGTGCGTGTAGCAAGCACTGTACCTATAGCTCCTCACCTCCCCTTTTTCGCAGCTCCCCGCGGGCGTGCTGCAAGCAGGGGCACGAGCGATCGAGACCACGCCGAGGGGCGCCCTGCATGGAAGTCCACCGCCCCGCGCCCTTGCGGGGGGGGTCAGGGCGGGAGCCCTCGCCAGGCGTGCCAGCGTGCAGCCCAATAGGGGGGGGCGCGGCGAGGTGTCAGGGGGGAGAGGAGGAGGAGGAGGAGGAGGAGGAGGAGGAGGAGGAGGAGGAGGAGGAGGAGGAGGAGGAGGAGGAGGAGGAGGAGGAGGAGGAGGAGGAGGAGGAGGAGGAGGAGGAGGAGGAGGAGGAGGAGAGGAGGAGGAGGAGGAGGAGGAGGAGGAGGAGGAGGAGGAGGAGGAGGAGGAGGAGGAGGAGGAGGGGGAGGAGGAGGCGGGGAGGACCACCCGCACCAGTCGGCGAGCACCACCGAGGTGGCCGGTGCCTGCTCGCTCCCTGAGCAGCAGAGGCGCGCTCGGTTCCGCGTGCGAAAGAATCGCGGCAGCCGTGCCGTGCCGTGCCTGGGCTGACTACCTACGAGACCACCCCAACCCAACCCGAAGACTCGCACTTGAACCGAATTTCGGGTTGGGGGGGATACGGGTTCCATGTGTGTGTTTTTTCGATGTTCCCCGACCCCCCACTGGTCTTCAAGGCGCCACAATTTGGACGCCCGGAATGGGTGCGGAAAGAATGGGCACAATGCCCAACAGCAAATGTTGTCCCAAACCAACAGCGGCCGCTCTTGGGCAGGCGGCCTCCTGTCTCAAATGGACACAGGCCGCGGCGGCGCGGACAGCGAGTCCTGTTCAAGATGAACAGGAACTGCTGTTGGGCATTGTACCCATTCTTTCCGTACCCATTTCGGGCGTCCAGAGGGCTGGGTCTTCAGAGTGCCACAACAACCGAGCTCGATTGGAGAGGGCACGCGAGAGGACTCGAGACCCTTGCCATAAGAATGTAAACGGCACGGGTCTCCAGAAGCAGCACACAAAGGTACCCTTGACTCGGTAGAGTCGAACTGCTAATCAAGGCCGGCTGTGATGTGAACTGCTGTGTCGCACTTGGTCTTCAGAATGTGAAGCATACATACTGCCGAAACATGCGGTCTTCAGAATGCGAACGATGTGCCGTGCAAGGCCGCGCATAAAACTTAAGACTGCGAATCATGTGCCGTACCGTGCCGTGTTTGATCTTCACAATGTGAAACATAGGCCGTGCCGTGCCGTACCTGTGTGCCGTGCCGTCCGAAACAAAAAACAGAAGGCCAAACATACCCCGCCCGTGTAACGAGGCGTGCCCTGACCGTGCCGTGCGCGTGCCCTGCCCGTGCCCTGCCCGCGTGCCAAGCCGTGCACGCTTGACGTGACGTGCACGCGAAGGTCGAAGTTGCCATGCGTCTTCTCCTTCAGCGCTGATGCTCACGGTCCCCATGCTGGTGCAATGAGCTCTCTCAGCCGAGCATGATCGACCCAGGAACCAAGAACGTAATTCAGAAACGCGAGGTGATTGGGCGACAAGCAATTGCAATGCTGAAGGCATCGATCGTAATGTACCGTGCCAAGGATTGTGCTGTGCTGTGCCATGCTGAAGTGAGGTATGTCATGCCGATGTGACTTGCGTTGTGCTCTATAGCGTTGCTAAGCAAGTCGCGTTTCGGATTTGAAGCATCGAGCTGCCTGAAAGCAGAGCTGGCTCAGAGCTGGTTGCAATCGAAACGCGTGGGAGGCTTAATCACTTCGAGCTCTCGGCTTAGTTCTGAAGCGGAACGAGTCGGCACAGGGCGCAATATGCACGGATGCGCCACGGGACGTGCCACGGAACGGGCAGGGACAGCGACAGAGGACAAGCCAATCGACGCGACTGAACACAAACCAAAGGGCGCACCGACGCGCTTTGGGGCGAAACATGCCCACGTGGTTTCACGTTTGTTCCGCTCTGGGGCGAAAAAGCCACGTGGTTTCATTGTTGCCCTGCTCTGGTGCGAAAAAGACCCACGTAGCTTCATGTGTTTTGCTCTGGGGCGAAAAGGGGCCCGCATATTTTCACGTGCGCGGGCCACCTGAAGTTTCCTGGAGCCTCGTGAGGCCTCCTGGCTGGAGCTTCCGTGTGCCCCATGTGGCCTTCCTGGGGCCAGGTGTTTTCACGCGTGTCCCGCCTCGGGGCGGAACGGAACAACGATTTTCATGTTTGTTGCGCTCTGGGGCGAAAGGACACCCGTGCATTTTCATGCATATTCCGCTTTGGGGCGAAAGGGGCCGCGTACTTGCACGTGCCAAAGCCGCCTGAGAGGGATCTACCTAACATGCGGTCGTCTGGGCCCCCCGAAATGGGGGTTCCACGATCACCATCAACATTCAGCAGAAAACGATACCATAACTTGACGAGGTCTGTCCTGGGGCCTCCGGAGGCCTCCTGGGGGGTTCTTGGGGCCCCCTTCGAATTTTCTGGGGCCCCCTGGGGCCTCCCGCCTCCTGGTTGGGGCCTCTCTTGTGACCTTCCTGGAGCCACGCGCCCACGTGTCTTAACGACTGCTCTGCCCTGAAGAAAGGGGCCCACGTGCTTTCACGTTTCTGTCGCTCTGGTGCAACAGCGGCCCACGCGTTTGCACGCTTGTTCCGCCCTGGGGCCGGAGGGGCCCTTGTTTTAACGTGCCCAAGCCACTCCAGTGAGGAGGCGACCTACCATGCAATCCTGCGGGCACCCCACAGAAGGCTGCCCCACGATAGCCCGAATAATGCATACATCTAGACCATGGGTGTAATGACTTAACACGCTCCCTTCTGCTGGAGCCTGTGGGGGCCTCCGGGCCTCGTGGAGCTTCCTGGAGCATCCTGGGGCTTCCTGGTTTGGACCTTCCTGGGGGGCACGTGTTTTCACATATGTTCTGCTCTAGAACGAAAAAGGCCCGCGTGATGTCACGCTTGTTCCGAAATGGGGCGAAAACAGGCCCACGTGTTTTCACATGTGTTCCGCTCTGGGGCGAAGAAAACCGTGCGTCTTCAAACTTATTCCGCTTTGGGGCGAGTGCGACCCGTGTACCTTCTCGTCTATTCCGCTTGATGGCGGCAAGGACCCGCGTATTCTCACGTGCCCAGGCCACTCAAGGAGGGACATACCTAGCATGCGGTTGTCTGGGCCCTCGAGAATGGAGAAGTGGGCACAACAGCCCGACAATTTCCAAACACACCTGTGAACCGCCCGTGTGAGAGAACTTGGCACGTTCCGTCCGGGGGCCTCTGGGAGGGCCTCCGGGGGCCTCCCGGGGGTTTCTCGCGGGCCCCTTACTTTCCTGGAGCCTCCTGGCTGGGGCCCCCGTGGGCCTCCTGTGAAATTCCTGGGCGCCGGCGGCCCGCGCGCCAGGAAGTCTCGCGCGGGCGGCCGCAAGGTATGCGCGTGGCGCGGGAAAACATGACGTAGAGGTGCAGCAACCACTGGTCGTCCGACGTGCACGTGCGACAAGGGTTTTCATCTCTGGCGCAGTCGATGGTGACGCCCTTGCGCAGCGTTTGACTCTGCGACACTGTGGTGGTCAAGTAGAACGTGTGCGTCAAGGTCAACCCTGAGCTCCGATCGATTAGAACGTGCGACCCAGACGCAAGGGTTTCCCCTTGCGCCCGACTCGGCCGCGGATGAGTTACCACCCGTGGCCTGGACACAAGGGTTCTCCCTGCACCCGAGCGTCGCCGACCGTCGCCGTCGTCCTACTGGATTCCTGCTCCTCCTCCTCCTCCTCCCCCTCCTCTTCCACCTCCTCCTTGGCCCGTGAGTGCCTGTAGCATGCCAGCTCGAGATTCCAGCTCCCAGGAGTTGAACGCCCTGGTCCGAGCGCGAGCGCGAGTCATTCACTGACGAAAGCCCCGCCGAATTCATCCATATGCTTCAGGCCTGATGAGCCCAAACGTGCCCCGCTCGGATTCGAACGTGGAGGCGGGGACCCCATAAGGAGGCTCCCGCTCGAGACGTCTACTATCTGCAAGCGTGAGGAGGCCAAAAGCGACGACGGGTACACGTTTCCGATGACCCCGCTCGGACTCGAACATGGAGGTGGGGCCCCCCCTCGGGAGGGGGTGCTGCCTGAGACTTCCCCGCAACTCACTCACAGAGGAAACTGCCGCTCGAGATTTCCCCTGATTCAAGCCAGAGGAGCCCAGTAAGTATGACAATTACATGTGTCCGATGACCCGCCTCGGATTCGAAGACGTGGGCCTCATAGGGAGGGGGCTCCCGCTTGAGCCTTCCCCCCAACCCACTCACATCACAGACGAGGCTCTCGCTCGAGACTTGTGCTAGAGGCCTGAAGAGCCAGTAAATGACGACGGTTACAGGTTTCCGATGACCAGCCTCGGATTCGAACATGAAGCGCGTGCCCCATAGGGCAGGGTCCAGCTTGAGACTTCCCCGCAATGCACTCACAAACGAGGCACCCTCTTGGTCGATATCATGGCGGGGTGGTGATAGTGATGGCGATGGTGGTGTGCGATGGTGATGATGACAACGAGGACAATGATTGCCGATAACCATGGTGTGGTCCTGACATGATGACGAGTGAGTGAGTGGTTCATGAGTGAATGTAAGTGAGTGCGAGAGTGAGGGGGAGATGGTGATGGTGGTCGATGCTCATGCTGGGATGATGGTAGTGATGTTGAGGGTTGTGGGTGAATATGTGATGATGGTGATGGTGATGATGGTGATGATGGTGATGATGGTGATGATGATGATGATGATGGCTGATGATGATGATGATGATGATGATGATTGCGATGCTGATGATGATTGTGATGCAGATGATGAATATGTAGTGGGATGCTTGTGACACTGCTGATGTTTGTGATGATTCAGATGATGATGATGCTGATGATGCTGATGCTGATGAGGAGGGTGATGAGGATTCTGATGATGCTGTGTGTGTGTTCCTGTTCCTGCGCGGGGTGCTCAGAGAAAACACGAAATCCACATAGGATGTGGGGACAAAAACTATGCCACATGTGCAATAACTTGACACGTTCCGTCCTGGGGCCTCCGGGGGCCTGCGGGGGCCTCCTGGGGCCCTGGAGCTTCCTGGAGCCTCCTGGGGCCTCCTGGCTGGGGCCTCTGGGTGCCTCCTGGGCCCTTCTTGGGGTCAAGGGCCCACGTGCTTTCACAGATGCTCTGCTCTTGTGAGGAAACGACCAACGTGTTTTCACACCTGTTCCGGTCAGGGGCGAAAGGGACCCATGCGTTGTCACGCTTCTTCCGATCTGGGCGAACAGGACCCACGTGTTCTCACGCTTGTCCCGCTCTGGGGCGAAATGGTTCCTCACATTTTCACGTGCGCACGCCACCTCAGAGGGGATACCTGGGCCCACGATAACCAGAACAAATGGAACATCTAGACCATGGTTGGAATAACTTACACGTTCCGTCCTGGGGCCTGCTGGGGCCTCCTGGATCTTCCTGGAGCCTCCTGGGGCCTCCTGGCAAGGGCCTCGAGATGCCTTCTGTGACGCTCCTGGGGCCCAAGACCCATGTGTTTCACGGATGCCCCGCTCTGGGGTGAAAAGAAACCACGTGATTCACTATTGCCCCGCTCCGGTGCGAAAGGGACCCACGCATTTTCACTAAGGTTGTGCTCTGGGTCGAAGAAGACCCAAACGTTCTCACACTTGTCCCGCTTTGGGGCGAAACAGACCCACGTGTTTCACGCCTGGGTCCGCTCTGGGGCGAAAAGGACCCACATGTTTTCACGCCTGTTCCGCTCTGGCGCGAAAAAGACCCACATGTTTTCACGTTCGTTCCACTCTGATAGGCCTGCTTTCCACCGCCGCCACAATGAGTTGGAGGGGGGAGGGGGTTCCTCCATCCCCTCTTCTTCTTCCTCCTCCTCCTCAGCCTCCACGTCCTTCCCCCCTCCAGCTTATGGCGGTGGTGGTGAAAACAGGCACGTCACACTCTGCGGCGAAAAAACGGCTCACGCGTTTTCACGCTCATCTTGGGGCTCCGAAGCCCCTCCAAGTTCTGGAAAACAGGCGTGTCGCTCAGGAGGCGCCACACTCGATCACAGGACTGAACCTAAACGGTGTTTTTCGTTTTCGTTTTGGTTTCGTTTTCCATCGTTTTGTCCTGAATTCGCCTTCGCTGCAAAACGACATCAAAACGAGAACGGCCCACGAAATCGCCAAAACACCGTTTAGGTCCACCCCTGCTGGAAAACAAGCATTTCGCTCAGAAGGCGCCACCCTCGATCAGGCACACAACAAGTCAGCATCGACGCATTTTCTGAAGCATGTTAGGGTTCTCCAGACCTCTCCAGCAGGAACAACCTTAAACACCCTCTCTTCCAGGAGGGGACTCGGGCGTCTGCGGAATGAGTGACTCATCGAGGATCCGAAATTGGTGGCACACATTCCTCGAGAGCGCACGCGCGAGACGCACTCGCCGAAAACAATATGAACCTTTACCCCGCCACTCCTCGCAAACAATTGCTCCGGCCATCTTCGAACTTAGCACCCGGGACAGCTTGCCACCCTAAACGAAAGCCATGCCGCCCGGCCTCTCTGGCACAAAAAAGCACACACACACACACCCAAACGGGGCAGAGATCGGGACAAAATCGGATCGGGATAACTCCAAATCTCTGAGAATCGGCGGGTTTGGAGGATGTATTGGGCGCCGCGGCCGCTCCAGAGCGTTCCGGAGCGCTCTGAGAGCGCTCCAGAACGCTCTGGAGCGATTTATCCCGATCCTAGCCCTGTTTTACCTAGACGCACGGGGCAGCTCAGCAAACGCCAGTTATGGGCATCGGCACATACTCGGAAATGGGACAGAGTCGGTCAAAGCACACAGAACATCCACGGGTGCCCTCCAGGATGCACACGAACATCTGACAAACAGGACAAGTGATATGGCCCCCCACCCGAACCAACCTCGATCTTATGCCTCGGTCCGGCTCTAATCATCTGCCCCTTGGAGGGGGCAGGGGGGGAGGGTGGGAGGGGAGGCGAGGCGCTTTGGGCAGGGAGCAGGGGGATGTAGCGGGGGCGGGCAGCAGGGGGAGGGCTAAAACAAAGGTACGGGCTCGTCCCCCTGCCCCCTTCGAGTCGGCGGAATCGGTGCCAGTGGGCCTCGGGGATCGATGCAACGAGCAACGCGTTGCGTTACCCTGCCCGCAAACTCAGCGGAGCGATGCGGAGCGGCATGCGGTGCCGCTGTGCCCCCACCTTTCCTCCCCCATCCACCCAGCCTCTCACTCTCAAACTCTCACACACACACACACACACGCACTCCCCCACACACACACACACACACACACACACACACACACACACACACACACACACACACACACACACACCACACACACACATACACACACACGCATCACACACACGCACACACACACACGCACACACACACACACTCACACACACACACACGCACACACACACACGCACACACACACACACACGCGCGCACACATATGTTTTTTTCTCGGGCGAGCCGACGGATTGCAGTCGGCAGGTGGGACGCCTTCGCGGTGAACGGACCACTGTGTGGCTGCGTGAACGCAGAAGTAATCCCCAAGGACCAGCACACCCACGGTCCACGAACCCCGCGCGCTGCGACACGGTGCGAAGGACAGCGGGCAAACAAAAACAATAACCACACACACACACACGAACATGATGGACCCACAAACCCGGTAAGGAATATGGACATGTAAGACATGGCAACGTTTCAAAAACACCTGATTGGGCGACGGGCAGACGCAATGCTGAATGTTTCGATCTTGATGTACCGTGCAGAGGGCTGTGCTGTGCAACGCTGTGCTGAATTGCGGTGTGCCATGCCGCGATTGTGCTCTATAGCGTTGTGGATCGAGTCCTCCTTTGCATCCGAGTCCTGACCGAACTGATCTGGATCTTAAGCTCGAGCTGCCTCAGCACATAGTGGCTGCCCCAGAGCTAATTGACAGGGGAACCTGCCAGGAGGACGCGCCGCAGCGTCCCAAGGGACGCGCCAGGCGACGTGCCAAGGGACGTGCCACGTAGATGCACCGCGGGACGTGCCGAGGGGACGCGCTACGGAACGTGCCAATGGATGTACCACGGGATGTGCTAGGTGACGCGCCGCGCGACATGCCAGGGGGACTCACCACGGGACGCGCCACGGAACGTGCCAAATTGCAATGCTGAATGTATTGATCTTGATGTACCGTGCCGAGGGCTGTGCTGTGCAACGCTGTGCTGAATTGCGATGTGCCATGCCGCGATTGTGCTCTATAGCGTTGTGGATCGAGTCCTCCTTTGCATCCGAGTCCTGACCGAACTGATCTGGATCTTAAGCTCGAGCTGCCTCTGCACATAGTGGCTGCCCCAGAGCTAATTGACAAGGGAACCTGCCAGGAGGACGCGCCGCAGCGTCCCAAGGGACGCGCCAGGCGACGTGCCAAATGACGTGCCACGTAGATGCACCGCGGGACGTGCCGAGGGGACGCGCTACGGAACGTGCCAATGGATGTACCACAGGATGTGCCAGGTGACGCGCCGCGCGACGTGCCAGGGGGACTCACCACAGGACGCGCCACGGAACGTGCCAAATTGCAATGCTGAATGGTATCGATCTTGATGTACCGTGCCGAGGGCTGTGCAGTGCAACGCTGTGCTGAATTGCGGTGTGCCATGCCGCGATTGTGCTCTATAGCGTTGTGGATCGAGTCCTCCTTTGCATCCGAGTCCTGACCGAACTGATCTGGATGTCAAGCTCGAGCTGCCTCAGCACGTAGTAGCTGCCCCAGAGCTAATTGACAGGAGAACATGCCAAGAGGACGCGCCGCGAAACGTCCCAAGGGACGCGCCAGGCGACATACCAAGGGACGTGCCACGTAGACGCACCGCAAGACGTGCCGAGGGGACGCGCTACGGAACGTGCCAATGGGCGTACCACGGGATGTGCCAAGGGACGCGCCGCGCGACGTGCCAGGGGGACTCACCACGGGACGCGCCACGGAACGTGCCAAATTGCAATGCCGAATGTATCGATCTTGATGTACCGTGCCGAGAACTGTGCTGTGCAACGCTGTGCTGAATTGCGATGTGCCATGCCGCGATTGTGCTCTATAGCGTTGTGGATCGAGTCCTCCTTTGCATCCGAGTCCTGACCGAACTGATCTGGATCTTAAGCTCGAGCTGCCTCTGCACATAGTGGCTGCCCCAGAGCTAATTGACAGGGGAACCTGCCAGGAGGACGCGCCGCGGAACGTCCCAAGGGACGCGCCAGGCGACGTGCCAAGGGACGTGCCACGGGGACGCACCGCGGGACGTGCCGAGGGGACGCGCTACGGAACGTTAAAATGCGTGGTCCTTGCTCGCGGCATCCATGTTAGATATCCCCCTGGATGGCCTGGACACCTAAAGGCACATAGTGCCAGATCGGGAAACCATGCTATATACACCCCTGAATAGCCTGGACTCGTTACAACACGTGGTCCTTGCTCAAAACAGTCATGTTAGATACCCCTCTGGGTGGCCTGGTACGTAAAAACACGTGGACTCAAACTCGGGGTAACCATGTTAGATATCCCTCTGGGTGACCTGGACACGTAAAAACAAATGGTTCCAGCTCGGGACCACCATGTCAGATACCCCCCTGGGTGGCCTGCATATTTAAAAAGTCGTTTGGAGCGCAGGAGGGCCCAGGAACGCCCAGAAGCGCCTGGAGGCCAACAAGTAAACGAACCGATACCAAATACAAATAAACTCTCGATGTTCCGTTCAGAGTCCCAGGAAGGATCCAGGAGGCCCATGTTAGATACCCCCTGAAGCGCCTGGACACGTGAAAACACATGGTTCCAGCTCGGGGCCACCATGTTAGATACCCCCCTGGGTGGCATCGACACGTGAAAACACTCGGTTCAAGCTCGGGACCACCATGTTAGAAACTCACCTGGGTGGCTGTGTGGCCAAGGAAATCCTGGAAAAACAAGCGAATTAGTCGAGACATCCTCGAAATTCCTGCGCGCGGGACGCGGCACGCGCGAGACATCCTCGGAATTCCTGTGATCGGGATGTGAAAACAAGCATTTCGCCTAAGACATCCTCTGAATTCTGCCCCCCGAGGCCCCCGCTCGAGACATCCCCCAACTCTGCAAAATCAGCGTTTCGCTCGAGACATCCTCGACAAATTCTGAACAACAAACGTTTCGCCTGAGATGTCCTCAAAAATAATTCCGCCGGCCTCCTTCAAACTCGGCATTCATAGCAAAATAATTCCACCGGCCTCCTCTAAGTCGAAACCAGGGGTAACAATAAGAACCCTGGGCTTACGCCCTTGCCGGGAAAAAGGCTGGGAAAGTGAAGGAAAAGGAGGACGGAGGAAAGGGAGGTGCGAGGGGAAAGGGAGCGGGCAGAAGGGGACGAATGACGAGAGATGAGGAACTATCGCAACAGTTCGAGGAGCCGACGTTCGTCTGTCGTGAGGGCCGCAAGCACCCTCTGCGCCAACTTCACGTGTCGAGAAGACCCGCTGTGCGAACATGGGTGGTGATGTTACCCTCCACCCTGGCGGGGTCCGTGGGGGCCCGGGCTGGAAAACACGCCGGCGCGGACCGCTCCGTCTGCGTACCCGCAAACAGGCAGATGCTAGCTGCACGCACACGCTGTGGCATGGGTAATACGGCGCCCTGACAGTGGCGGCGCCGCCTTGGGGCAGCCCCCGCGGCGGCTCAAAGCTAGAGCTACGGAGAAGATGCCAGCAGCGCAAGTAGCGCGCTCAGAAGAAAGAGGGGATAGCACTCGTGTGCTATCGGTGAGCATCGCGGCGCGCATGTTGGCTCGCCTGGGGACAGGCCCCGAGGCGAGCAGGCGATCGGGCATGACGAAGGTCGATCCATGCGGCCCGTGCTTTGTGGAATCTGTCACGACGGGGTGCTGTCTGTTCCAGGGTGGCGCGCAGCGTATGGCCAAGTCTGGTAGCGCACTGGTACGTCGCGGTGATGCTAGTAGTGTCGTGGGCGCCGCGTCCGGGGTCGGCAGACTGACGGCCGTGACACGCCACCGCTCAGCGGCCTGCACTGGAGCCAGGCGGATGCCGTCACCCTGGTAGGCGACGCTATGGCCGTGAGGCCGTAAAGCCTTCACTCTTGCCCCCTCGCCTCTTCTTGGTTTGGCTGTGCAGACCGCGCCTGGTGGCGGGTGGCTGGGCTGCCCTGGCGTGACCCGAGCACGTTCTTTGTCTGCCTTACCCTCGCCTGGTGGCGGGTGGGCAGTCTGCTTTGTTTTTGCCACGCGCTGTGTACCTGGCGTTGTGCGTGGTGCTGCAAGCTTTGGCGTGAAGCCGTGGATGTGAGGGTGTTGATGTCCACGTGCGCGAACCCCATCGGGGTGGCCATGGACCGAGTAGCACTACTCGTCGCGCACGTGGGCGTCTCAGACGTGGGGCCGAGACGAAACTTTCAGCATTGCTGCTTGAGGACGTGGCACCCGTCGCGATGGCCATCAACGTGGCACTCGAGACAAGACTCGTCCCGCTCGTGGAAATCAGGGCCACGCTGCTACACTCGGTCGCACTGCTCAACGATGTGCTGCCGATGCCCAACGTGCTGTTCAGCGCCGCGGTGGACGATGCAATACTTGTCGCCCTCGCGGGCGCGAGGGTTGAGCTGCTGCTCTCCGACCTATTGCTCGACGTCGAGATGCACGTTCCCGCCGCGCGGCTCAGCGACGCAGTGCTTGAGGCAGTCCTCGTCCCACTAGTGCGCGTCAGGGTCGAGCTGGTGCTCGCCGACGCGCTGGTCGGAGCTCGCATCCCGCCCCCATTGGGCCAACGCGGCTCGTGGACATGGGGCAAAGCTCGATCCCCACCTCCAGTAGGCCAACGCGGGAACGCGTCGATGCACGCATCCCACCCCCACTGGCCAGTGCGGATCGTGGACGTGCTGGCCAGCGTGCGGACGTCGCACGCCCCGCTGCACATTTGCTGGATGCGCGCGAAGCGTAGGATCGAAGTCGCAGTCATTATCCCAACAATTCCCTCCGCACTCCAACAATGAGCAGCCCCAGACATCGGGCGTCGCGAACAAAAACGAGGCGCAGGTTGTTTGCCGTTTTTGGCCTCTCGGGGCCCTCGCTGGGCCTCGAGACCGCCAAACAACGACTCGGGATGAGAAACCGGCCCACGGGAAGTGGTCGGGAGGTCGGGGCCCCGCGTCTCGAACACATCGAGACGTCGGATGCCTGGGGCTGGGGCCCGCGGCGGTGGTCAGCGATGCGCCACTCGAGGCAGCGAGCGCCCCGCTCGCGGGCCCTGGGGCGCACGGGCACGAGGGGTGAACTCGAGCCAGTGCGGGGAACATCGAGGCGACCTGTCACTTGACATGCGTGGCAGGTTACACTCGACAGGGTGCACATGCTGAACCTATGCATCAAATCCTGGAAGTCAACAGCACTCGTCGATCTTCTCGGCGAGAGACTGGTTGGCCTGGGTGGCGCTACAATTGAGCACCTCCTTAGCAGCACGAATGATAATATCCTTGAGCTGCGCATGCCGCTCAAGCGGGTCGGCGTGGAGCGGGCCGACGGCTTGCAACAAGTCATCGATGGCAGGAGGAGGAGGAGGATGAAGAGGAGGAGGAGGAGGAGGAGGAGGAGGAGAAGGCGGAGGAGGAGGATGAGCCTTAGAAGGAACAGGTGGAGGAGATGGGCACTCTCGCCACCTAGCCATCCTCCCCGACCGATGACCTTCTCGCCCCCACATCCTCCCACCCTCATTGCATGTTGTCCGTGCTTGCCCTCTTCCTCCTCCTCCTCCTCCTCCTCCTCCTCCTCCCCGTCCCTCCCGCCTCTCATTTCCTTCCATGCTCTCCACCCTTCCCCTCCCCTCCACTTCCCTCCCGCCCCTCGATCCCCAATCCTTCCTTCCCCATCCATAGCTGCAGCCTGCCTCGCCGCAGGGGCTACTTTGACCCACCAACGGTTGCATAGCAGTACGAATTCCACAAAGCAAAGTGGCCATCCCACCCAGTCACCAGTGCCGTGGAAATCAATCATCATGATATCTGCTCACTCGAGGGGCACGATGAGGGCACTTACGACAATGACGAGAAATCATGTTGAGCAGGGGTCGTACGATTTCGATGAGTGGCCGACACGCGGCACGAACATCTGATCAGCTGGCGAAGGAAACTAGAAACGAAAGAAAGAGAGAGAGGCACCGGATGGGCACGAGGAGGCGGAAGAGGCGGAGGCGAGCGAATGCATGGGCTGGCCACGGCCTGGTCCTGCAAAGCGCCAATCAGAAGACCGGCCCAGGCCAAGACCTGCGCTCCGCCCCGCCCGGACCGAGGACCAGGTCTGCCGGTGGGAGAGCCGACACAACGGCAGCACACCATCGGCCCCAAAACACCCCCCCCGGGATCCACACGCCGAGCTGCGCCCAGCCGTGGCGACGGGGGGCCCCCCGAAGGCTAAAGTTGGGCATGCCCATTTACAGGAGAAAGATGGAGAAATAGTCAACAAATAATATGGGGAATAGTGTTCCACCATTGTTTGATGATTTCTGGGTGAATTTAGGTATATATCAATGTAGCATATATACATATATATATAATACATCTGTATATGTATATAAAAATATAATATGTGTATGTATGTAGGTATCTCTCTATATATAGTATACACATACATGTGTCTTCCAAAACTTGGCCTGTATGGGGGACATGCCCGACGCAACCCGAAGGCCAACTGCCCTCGTCTCGATTCGCCCTCCCCTGCTCCACCGCGGAAGCGGCACACGGCACCCGCCGCGCTCGGCGCTCGCGGAAAGCGCCCGGGCGGCAGCCGCTGCGGCCGCCCTCGCGGGTTCGCCCGGGCGGCCCGCCCTCGGCCCCTCCTCCTCCTCCTGTTCCTCCTCCTGCTCCTCCTCCTCCTGCTCCACCTCCTCCACCTCCTCCTCCTGCTCCTCCTCCTCCTGCTCCTCCTCCTCCTCCTGCTTCTCCTCCTGCTCCTGCTCCTCCTGCTCCTCCTCCTCCTCCTCGTCCTCCTCGTCCTCGTCCTCCTCCTCCTCCTCCTCCTCCTCCTCCTCCTCGTCCTCCTCCTCCCTCCTCCTCCTCCTCCTCGTCCTCCTCCTCCTCTTCCTCCGCGCCAAAGCCGGCGGCCGCGGCCCGGCCCCCGCGGGCCTCGCGCGGCCGCCGCCGAGGGGCGACGAGGCGGCACGCGGCCGCCCGCGGCCGCTGCGGCGCGCCGTGGGCGGCGGCCCCCGGCGCGGGCTGCGGGGCGCCGCCTACACGACGGGCGCCGCGGGATCGGCGGCCGCCTGGGGCGAGGCGGCTGCGGCCTCGGAGGCCGCCGAGGGCTGCGCCGCCGCGGGATCGGCGGCCGCCTGGGGGGAGGCAGCGGCAGCCTCGGGAGCCGCCGAGGGCTGCGCGCTGGGCGCCGCGGTGACAGCCACCTTGCCGTCGGCGAGCGTGGCGCTCCTGCGGGCGGCCGCCAGCCCAGAGGCAGGACGCCTCGAACCAAAGCCCCACAAACCCCTTAGGGGTTTGGCGGTCTAGAGAGGTGTCTCTTCCATCTCCCTCCTTCCACTTTGGGGAGGGCTTCATGCACCCCCTCCCCCAGGCGACCGGCAGCCAATCAGGAACAACGCGGACCCCATGAGGCCCCCCAACCATCCTTACCAAAAAGAATACGAACACATTCTGCTTCCAAATTCGGAGCATGCGCAACCACCCCGATGCGGGCCCCCCCCCGCCATCCCAGTCAAAAAACATTACAAAGTTCACTTTGGGGCAACGTCTGGGGTCATCTTCGTGACGCCTGCGAGCACTTTGTCTCCTTTTTGGCAGAAACGGCGGGGGTGTCAGAATATTGCCTGCGCGCAGCAGGCAATATTCTGACATGCACTTCGCGACAAAATCTGGATCATGCGCGGCCACCCCGCGATCACTGTCAAGTCGTTTTTGACAGGGACGGCGGGGGTGGTGGCGTATGGTCTAGTGTGCGCAGGCCCACCAGACACAATGATGGGCTTTGGTTTTCGACAAGGATGGTGAGGGCCGACATGTTTCCTGATGTGTGCTGTCACGTGCTCTAGCGCACCTGACGCACTCTGCACGTGCCCCAATCGTGGCGCACCTGGCGCGGCTGGAGTATGCGGCACACCTGGCGCAAGCGGAGGCAAGTGGCGCATCTGGCGCACCAAGCGTGCCTGGCGCGCTCGGGCCCCACGGGTGCCTGGCGCGCGTGGTGCGCCTGGCACGCGTGGCGCACCTCGCCCCAGCGTCGCGCACATGGGCTCGATATTGGTTCCCAGTAGCTGCCCATTCAAAGACGACCGCTGAACGTGCTGAGGCTCGGGTGTTACTTATGTCTTGGGAGGAACGGTAGAAGCGAGCTAGACGGCTTGCTATCCGTCTTGGGGGCCTCCTGGGCCGGCTTCGGGGCCTCTTGGGCCGTCTCGGGGGGTTTGGTGATCCCCACGTGCCACAGGCCGACCCTTTTGGGCCGTCTGGGGCCCTCTTGGGTCTCTCTTGGGCTGTCTTGGGGCTCCTCGGGGGCGTCTGGGGCACTGCGAAGACGAAGGCAGCAAGTATGCTGAAAATCAGTTTTTACTAACGAAATGGGCAGATTGTTGCCTCTTGAAGGCCATCTTGGGGCCCTCTTCGGTCATCTTCAAGCCATCTCTTCGGCCATCTTCAAGCCATCTCGGGCCCTCTGGGGCCTCGCTGAGGCTGTCTTGTGGGCCTCTTGGGCGTCCTCGGAACCCAGAAATCAGATTCCCGGGGAGGCTTCCCGGAACATGATTTCGATCGAGGCCCTCCTGGGCCTCCCTGAGGCCGTCTTGGGGGCCTCCTGGGCCGGCTTTGAGGCATCTTGGGCCGTCTCGGGGGGTTCGGTGAGCCCCACAGGCCGACCCTTTTGGGCCGTCTGGGGCCCTCTTGGGTCTCTCTTGGGCTGTCTTGGGGCTCCTCGGGGGCGTCTGGGGCACTGTGAAGACGAAGTCGGCGAGTATACCGAAAACGAATGTCTTACGAATGAAATGTGCAGAGTTTTGCCTCTTGGAGGCCCTCTTGGGGCCCTCAGGGGCCCTCTTGGGGCTCTCCTGGGGCCCTCAGGGGACCACTTGGGGTCCCTTGTGGCCTCTTCGGAAGCTTCTGGAGACTGATGGCTGGAATTTTCGGCGAGGGGGCCACGATCCTCGTGATGGGTGCCAAAAAATGGCCCAGGGGGGCCCCCATGGCGAATGCGCATGTATAAGCATAGTGTGCTACATCTATGTGTATAAAGATTTCTGTGTATATATATATATATGTACAAATGCATAAGGATTTGTGCATGTGACTAAACGTAAATACACATGCAAGTGTGTATAAACAATTATATGTATATTTGCATAAACATATAAGCATGCCTGAACATATTCATACATGTAGACATAACATTGGCACTTCGCGCAATGCACCTGGTCCTTGAAGTTTGACACGCAGGCAGAATTGCAGGAAGTTTAAGCCGACAATTCAGCGACAACTCCTTGTTGCCATTTCTGGCATTGCCGTTATCATAATGTTAATAGGTATCCTTCCTCCATGTTTCTTCCTCATTATCGCCATGCCCTGCGTATTATCATCCTCCTCCTCAGCTCTTTTTGCGGAGGCTTCTCCTTGGAGAGCCTCTGGGGGCCTCACAAAAGTTTCCAGGCTTTCTTAAGGCGTTCTGGAAGCCTAAGCCTCCGGCGCGTCTTCTGGGGGCCTCTGGGGGCTTCCTCACTGCCTACCACCGCGGTCTCCCTGAACGACAGGGTCACGATTTGGACTGCTTCGGAGGGTGTCTTTGGGCCATCCTGAGCTGTCATGGGGCCCTCTTAAGCCATCTTGGAACCCTGTTGCGCCGTCTTGGGGCTCTCTTGTACTGCCTGGAAGCCCTTTCGGATGGTTGTGGGGCAGGCGGCTTCGGACGCCCAGAAGACCGCCGTCTTGGAGCGTCGGGAAGCCGAAAAGAGGAGAACCCCAAAATTCAGCCCAAACCTCAGAAAATCTATAAATGTTGCGTCTTGGGGCCTTCTTGGGAGAACTCTTGGATGCCTCTTGGGACGTTTTGGACCGATCATTGGGGGTATGACTGCTTTTTTGGGGTCGTCGTGGACCGTTTTGGGGCTCGCTTGGGTCGTTTCGGGGCCGGAATGCTTGGAGCCCTCTGCGGCCTTCTTTTGGCTCTCGTGGGGTTCCACCATGTCGTCTGGAGGGTTGCATGAGAGGCCCGGGGCAGGGCCAAATCCGTTAGGAGGGCGGAAGGGGGTTCGACCCAGCGTTTGCATGATTACAACAAAGCTTTTTTTGGTAAATTTCCTAGCGATTGGAACGCTATGGATCATCAGTCGACTCATCGTGTATGTTGATCGTCCTCGTTCTTCTTCATCTCCCCGTTTCTTCTTTCTCTCCCTTTTGCAAGAGTGTCCCTTTTGCGGCAACCTTGCAAAAGGATTTGAAGTGTGGAGGATCTGCAGTGGCCTCCACTACTAAAATCCCTATGTAGCGGCCTGTACAAAAGGATTCCTTTTGTGGCGGCCTTGCAGAAACCGTTTTTAAATGTGACGCATCTGCAGTGGCGGTACCTTGGGCCCAGGGAAGCTACAGATGAAACCAGAAAAAACATGACAAATAAGAGAAAGCTGGAGTTCTTAAAGGGGAAACAAGACACTGCTAGACTGCAGATGATCTACAAGAAATCGTTTTGCAGCGGCCTTTTGCAAAAGGAGTCTTGTTGTGGAGACCTTAGAAAAAAACAAATTGTGGAAGATCTGCAGTGGCCCCCACACTTAGAAGAATCCTTTTGTAGCAGCCTGTACACTTGGATTCCTGCAGTGTCGGCACCTTGAACCCAAAACATTTAGAGAGGAAGACCGGAGAAACGGAACGACGGTAAAAACCATGTGTTTTCAGAGGGGAAACAGAATACAGCTAGGAACACCTGTGACTGCCGCTGTTTGTCATTGTGCAGATGCCTTGAAACAGTGATTTCTTTTGTGGCAGCCTTACAAAAGGATTGACATTGCGGGGGATCTGCAATGGCCTCCACAATTAGAATCCTTCTGTAGCAGCGTGCACAAAAGGATTTTTTTGTGGCTACCTTACAAAAAAGGTTCTATGTATGTGGGGATTTGCAGTGGCGGCCAAAACTGCAGAGGAAAACCCGAACGCGAAAACTATAAACAAACATGTGTTTTCACATGGAAAAAAAAACTATCAAGGAGCACCTGGGACTGCCGCTGTTTGTATTGTGCAGATGATTTACAATTAAGACAATTTGAAGCGGCCTTTCCAAAAGAGTTCCTGTTGTGGCGGCAACACAGAAGGACTCTAAGTGTGGAGGATATGAAGTGGCCTCCACACTTAGAACCCCGTTGTAGCAGCCTGCACGAGCGGATTCCTTATGTGGCGGCCTTGCGCAAGTGTTTGAAGTGCGGGGGGTCTGCAGTGGTGGCACCTTGACCCCAGCAGCGATACAAAAGAAAACATGAAAAACATGAAACACAAAAGACACCCAGCGCTGTCGAAAGGGGAGAACAATCAACAGCTAGAAAAACCTGTGACTGTCGCTGTTTTATAATGCATGTGATCTACATGTAAAATCCTTTGTTGTCGCGGCCTTTACAAATCCATTATCTGTGTGGCGGCCTTACAAAAGATTATAAGTGTAGAGGATCTGCAGTGTTGCCTCCACACTTAGACTCCGTAAGTAACAGCCTGTGCATAGGGATTCCTTTTGTGGCGGCCTTACACAAGGTTACGTGTGGAGGATCTGCAGTGGCAGCACTGAGCCCAGGAAAGCTAGAGAGGAATGCAGAAGAGACAGGACGCATCTCAAACAGGTTGTGCTCTCACATGGGAAAACATGAGAAAGCTATGAACATCTGTGTCTGTCGCAGTTTTCTATTGCGCAGGCGATCTGCAAGTAAAATCCTTGTGTTGCGGTCTTCAAAGAAATCATTCCTTGTGTGGCAACCTTCAAGAAATTATTCCTTGTGCGAAAACTTACATTAACTCATTCCTTGTGGGGGATCTGCAGTGGCATCCACAATTAGAATCCGTTCCGTCGCAGCCTGTGCAAAGGGTGTGGCGGCCTTACAAAAGGGTTTTTGAAAGTGTGGGGAATCTGCAGTTGCGACATTCCGAACCCAGGAAACCTTGCGAGGAAAGCAAATGACAAACGGTGAAAATTTGTACTTTCACATGGGACACCAAGAAACAAAACATGGAAAACCTCTGACTGCTGCCATTTGTAAGTTTCGAACACATGAAAACGCTGACAGTCGCAGGTGTTCCTTGGTTTTCTCTGTTGCCATGAGAAAGCACGGGGGTTTTCCTGTTTCTCCTGTTTTCCTGGTGAGCTTCCGCGGCCCCGAGGCGCTGCCTCTGGAAATCCCAACACTCAAAATCAGTGTGCAAACGGATTACACATTGGTTTTGATTGTCGTTGTCTCTGGAAATCCCCACACTCAAAATCAATGTGTAAACGGATTACACATTGGTTTTGATTGTCGTTGTCTCTGGAAATCCCCATGTGTAAATGGATTATACATTGATTTTGGTTGTGGTGAATTGTAGTGGCAGCGCCGTGAACCGCGGAAGCTTACCAAGATAACCAAAACACATTACAAACAAAACATCTTTTTGCCCACAAAAATAGAAGCACGGAAAACCTGTGACTGTTGCCATCTGTACTTGTAACACAATTCAAAACGCTGACGGTCGCAGGTTTTCCTTGGTGTTACCTATTGTTCCTGTGAAAGCGAATGGTTTTTCGTGATTTTCCATGTTGTCCGGTTTTTCTGGTAAGCTTCTGCGGCCCCCAGGCGCTGCCTTTGAAAATCCCAAACAAAAAAAACAATGGTGCAAATTGATTACATATTGATTTTGACTGTTCTTGTCTGTGGAAATCCCCTTAATCAAAATCAATTTGCAAATGGACTACACATGATTTTTGATGATGAAGAATTATAAATTGAATTCGAAGTTGGGCTGTTCAAGTAACTTTCCACAGTGAAATTTTCTACATTACAGTCCGTTGTGGAGATGAAGAAGAACACTGGTTATGATCGCACGAAAGCAGGGTCCTACGGGGGGGGGGTTCAGGGACCCTGCCCATATACAAATGTTTGAATAGGAACACGACGGATTCTGGAAACCCTGAATCCAAAAAAACAATCATCTCTCGGGGACGCAACATTCACTTCCGCCGCCTTCCGCCGGCCTCCCGCCAGCGGTGGTGGCCTCACTTTACTTCTACCGGCCATCCGCAGCCCTTCATTTTGCGCGCACTTCTCCCTCTTTCGGCGGTGGACAAACGTCCCTTTAGTAAACCTCCCCTTAATGAAAACGGCCTGGGACCGAAACCGACTAACCTGGACCCGCAAAAAAGACGGCCGCGACGCCCTCTCGCGAACCGAAAACTGCCAATTCGCTAATCGGCGTGTTAGGGTAGGTCTATCCACCCCCGACTCTTTGGAAGTTACGTGGTGGGCCGCATGGAAAAACTCAACCGAAACGGTCGCTTCGGCGCGATCCAACGTCTTGCCAGATCGGGACCCCAGGAGGCGCAGGTAGACGGGCGATGCGACTCGCGGGCACTTCCGCCGACGAGAACTCCAAAACCCCGCTGCCGCCCTTGTGCCGCCTTCCGCCGAGGAAGGGATGCCAACTCCTCCTAATTATCCTCGAAGGCGAGGCCTTCTCTGGAACGCCCCAGCGATGTACATGCGTGTGCGGCCGGCTCCGGAATCCACCAAGAAGTGTTCCGCCCGGGGGCGCATGCACTGCTTCCTCTCGCACGGGATCTGTCGACCCCGATCCCCTATCTGTGGACCAACAATTTGGAGCCCAACCCTCGAATACACGATGGAGGGGCGTCCGTCCTCAATGGGGGTGCGTCCGAATAAATAGCCCCCTGGGGGTCTCCCGAGGTTCCTGTCCTTCTCTGAGCGGCTTCTTCGTCGATAAGCTTGGTGGGGGAGACAAATTCGGGGATCTACTGACCCAGGTCAATCCAGACCCGGGTCAGTCTTGCCGTGCAGGGAAGGTCCTGCAGGATCCTGCACCCAAACCTGGGTCAGTGCGCGTCCTCCTCCTCCTCCTCCTCCTCCTCCTCCTCCTCCTCCTCCTCTTCCTCCTATTCCTCCTCTTCCTCGTCCTCCTCCTCCTTCTCCTGCAGGATCCTGCAAGATCCGGCGCTCTCACTGACCCCTGGTTGCATTGACCCCCGTCCCTCGGGCCCCGAAACATCGCCCGCGATGCTCTCGCGGGCCTCCGCGGGCTGGCGAGGGGCCGCCTTCGTTTTTTGGGGGCGGCCTCCCCACAAGCGGGCCTGCCGACGGGGAAGCAAGCGGGGGGCGCAGCATCTCTCGAGATACCCCGCGAAGGCGAGGCCGCCCCTCCTGGAAGTGCGCGCCGTGTGAAGGGGCGTGATTCGGTGGAGGGGGGCGATCCATGGGGGGGAGGTGGGCGCACTTTTCGGTTGTGAGTTGACAGGGGGGAGCGATGTATGAAGTGGGCACTTCTCACGCCATAGGCCCCTTCTTGGGGCCCCGAAGGGCCCCCTTCCGCGGCCTTCGAGGGCCCCTATGCTAGAACCCTCGCAGCCCCGCCATTCCTCGCCCCCCCCGTGACCCCCCCTGACGCGACGCCCAAACGCCCCGGCTCCCGCAGGCCCTGGCCCGTCCTGTCCCCCCCCCGCCCCGGAACCCTTTCGTCGCGATCGCGGGCGCTCCAGAAAAGATCGGCCGCCGAGCGCCCCAGGCTGATCGTGACCTCTTCGCCCAAGTCCGCCTCGGGGGAAGGGGGGGGCGGGGCGGACGGGGAGAGGGGGAAACGACATGAGAGGTAAGGGAAGGGAAGGGGGTCGGCGAGGAGCGGGAGAGCACTGAGAGAGGACGCGGAGGATGAACAATGCGACAGTTAGGATGATGGAAGGGAAATGTAGCGGAGGGAGGGAGGACAGACGGATGGAAAAAGAGGAGTGAGGTCTTGGATGGGCGCGGTGCCTAAGGGCTCCAATAGGTTTTCGGTCCCAGCTGTGGTAGCAGACCAGTCCGGCCATATAGATACTTGGGACTAGTGTTCCTGATGATTCCCTTTTTCGTTGCTGTGCTGAGCAGCTCTGTAGCTCATCCGCAGCTCGAGTTACGTTCAGAAAACCGACAGCACCTGCCAAGATGACACTCAAGAGCCGATCCCGTCTGAGTGATTGTTGACAGTAGTATCTACCCGATCGACCTGAGATCGAGATGGCGAGCGGGCATACAATCGGATATGGGTAGAAAAATGTAGAAGGCCTAACGAAAGTTCAAATTTCGAGAAATTTATTTTGAACGCGCCAAACAACAAAACTTCCGCGTGTGTCAAATAGGGGGGCGGGGGCGCATGTAAACTGTGCCAGTGGGGCCATCGGTGGATTGTGCCGAAATAGTTGCATGGGGCGCATGTACACTGTACCGCCGGGGCCTGCGTTGGAGTTCCCTACCATGTGGCCGCGAACCATTTTAAAAAGGGGTGTGCAGGCATGGGTGGTGGGGGCGCGTGTAAAATGCGCCACTGGGACCTTCGGTGGAACTGGAGATCCCTATGGGGCCACGAGCCGTGTCAGGGGTGTGCCGACATTGATGGCGGGGACGCATGTAAACTGTGCCGCTGGGGCCTTAACGGGACCTCCCTAATTATGGGGCCTCGAGCCGCGTGGTTTGTGTGTGTGCGTGTGTTGTGTGTTGTGTGTTGTGTGTTGTGTGTTGTGTGTTGTGTTGTGTGTTGTGTGTTGTGTGTTGTGTGTTGTGTGTTGTGTGTGTGGTGTGTGTGTGTGTGTTTGTGTGTGTGCCGCAATTGGTGACGGGGCGCACGCAAACTGTGCAACTGGGGCTGTCGATGGAGTTCCCTGTGGGGCCACGAACCGTGTGACGGGTGTGCCGGCATGGGTGACGGGGACGCATGTGAACTGCACCACTGGAGCCTTCAATGGAGCTCCCTATGAGGCCACGAAACGTGCGAGGGTGTGCCGTAATGCGTGGCGGGAGCGCATGTAAACTGTGCCACGGATTTGCCGTAACCGCATGTAAACTGTACCGATGGGGCCTTCGTTGGAGCTCCCATGGGACCACGAACCGCGTGACTGGTGTGCACGCATTGGGTGGGGGGACGCATGTCAATTATACCACAAGAAACTTCGGGGGAACCCCCTTTTTATGGGGCCGCGACCAGTGTGAGGGGTGTGCCGGCATGTGTGGTGGGGGCGCATGGGAACTGCACCACCGGGGCCTTAGGTGGAGCTTCCTGCAGGGCCAAAAACAGCGCGAGGGGCGTGCCCGCATTGGGTGGCGGGGACGCATGTCAATTGTACCAAAAGAAACCTCGGTGGAGGTCACTACGGGGCCGCAAACAGTGCGAGGGGTGTGCCGATGTGGGTGGCGGGGACGCATGGGAACTGCGCCACCGGGGCCATAGGTGGAGCCTCCAACGGGGCAACGAACCGTGTCACGGGTAGGCCAAAATGGATGGCGGGGACGCATGGTAACGTCGCCACTGGGTACTGCGCTGGAGCTCCCCATTGGGCCACGAGCCGTGTCAGGGGTGTGCCAAAATGGGTGGCGGAAGCGCATGGGGACAACGCCACTGGGGCCATCGGTGGGGCTCCCCATGGGGACACGCGCCGTGTGAGGATTGCGCCGGAATGTGTGGCACGGGCGCATGGGATGGTGATGGTGATGGTGGCGGTGGTGACGGTGGTGATGGTGATGACGATGATGACGCTGATGGCGGTCGCGCTCTCCGAAAGTAATACGTCGCCGCATCGCGAACGCTCGCCGCCTGCTGTATTACTGGCGCGCCTAAATGCCGCGTCCCCGTCCAGGGTGCTGCACGCTGCGAAGACACCAACCATTGCTCCCGCACCTCGGGCCGTGATATGAACAGTGCCACGCATGCAAGGGGCATGGACAAGGGGGCGCGGCGCGCGCCACGCGGCGGCCTAGGGAAGCGCTGCGCAGACGAGCCCACAGCGCGTTGCCGGGCCCAGCGCCCACTCATCCGCAGCGCCTGCTGCTCATGCCACGGTCCTCCGCCAGGACTTACTGCCACCGCGCGCAAGAGATCACTTCCTGGATCTCGCGGCGCTCCCTCTCGGCCTCCGCTGCGATGAAGCCGTTATCCACGTCGCCAAATAGCATCAGAGCCTCCCCGAGCATGCTCTCTAGCCGCTTGATAAACGAATAGATCACGCCCTGCCCGTTAGCGAAGTCGCCCTCCATGATGGCCGTTAGGTCTTCTCGCACGGCCTCCAAGCGCTCCCAGCAGTCCTCCACGCACGTGGATAAGGGAGGCGGCGTTGCGGATGCGGCGTCGCTGCGCGCCGCCCCCGCCGCCGAGGTCAACCCGTCCACGCCCTCGTTCTCTTTGTACTCCTCGGTGTCGCTCGCAGGGTCTGGTGGGCCAGTGCCATCGACGCTGAACACGTCCTCGTCGCACTGCCCCGCGCCCTGCTCTCCGTCGTGCTCGCCATTGTGCTCCGCGCCAGCGACGCCCGCGCCCGCGCGCGGGATGGCCGAAATGGGCGGGGACTCGGCCAATTCCCGCGCGGGCGGGGCGCCGCCCTCATGGCCGCCCCCGCCGGGTCCGCCCCGAGCCCCTGCCTGGGCCTCGGCCTCGGCGCCGAGCGCGGGGAAGTGGCACCGCTGGCGCCGTGGTGGTGGGCGTCACGCTGTGGCGGCCGCCGCCAATCGTGGCCCCTGCTGGGCCTTGCGCAGCCGCCGTGGCGCTGCCGTCGCCAGCGGCAGAGGGGCGCCCCTGGAGTGCAGCGCCACTTCCCGCCGCAGCACGGCGACTGTTGCCAGCCTGGCGCCCTGCAGCATGGCGTGGAGGTGAACTGCCGCGACCTCCAGGCGCTCGGCCACCTCGCCGCTGCCCAGCGCCTCCAGCAGTCGCCCGTGGCAGCGGCGCCAGAACTTGACCTCGCGCTGCAACTCCTGGATGAGGGCGTCGGCAGACCGCCGCGCCCTTCGCCGACTGTCCTGGCGTCGGCGCCCCCGCTCCGCACTGGAGCCGCCGCCAGCCAAATCAGTGGCCACCCCCCGCGGAGCCACCGCCCGCGCCATCCCAACCTGCGTCCGCCGCCCGAGGGAAGCTGGCACGGTGGCTTGAGCCAAAACGGTTACGGATGATGGTGATGCTGCTGCTGCTGATGAAGATGATGATGATGTGATGGTGCTGATGATGAAGATGGTGATCATGTTAATGATGGTGATGATGATGATGTTGAAGATGGTGATGATGATAATGATGAAGATGATGATGAGAATGATGCTGATGATGGTGGCGATGATGATGACGATGATGATGATGTTGAATATGAAGATGATGATGATGATCACGAATCCATGGGATCCGAACAGCTTACAGCTCGAGGCGCGCGCGGCGCGCAGCACGCACGGCAGTGTGCAGCACGGCTTGCGGCCGCCCGCCACTCAGGAAATGGTCCTTCATAGCGTGGAAGACCTTATGGGCAGCTGCCACCCGGAGGAGGGCGATAGTCGAATCCAACCCCAACCGGTCGCGTGTCGAAGACGGGCTCGAACCAGGCCAGCTGTCGAGGAGGTCCCAAAACCTGTCACACTCAAAGTAGTGTTTCTGATCCGCGTCAGGGAAGCCACAAATATAACAAGCGTGCCGGATAGGCTCGCGCATGCGGCGAGTCGTAAACCATCCATGCGTCCAGGTTCGTAGCACCAGCGTGCGAAGAGGACGACGGAGAGATCGAAGACGTGCGACAGCGGCAGCAGCGTCGACCAGGGACAAGGTGTCGTCAGTTGTGAAGCTCCGCCATCGCTGCAATATCAGCGAGGGCCAGTCTGGTTCCCACCACTCCTTCAGGACAGCGGCCTGCACCGCGCGCTGCAGACGCTGGCGCGGCAGGAGGCCACGAAACCAAGCACGAAGAACTCCAGCAAGATGACCACGGCGGTGCCACGATGGATGCGTGGCCGCCGCACGCTCGAGATTCAAGGCGATCAACGGTGATTTCCACCAGGCATGCGTGAGGGGGCCTAACGCGAGGGTGACCCCAAAGAAATCCTCCGCCATCCTCCGCGTAGAGGCGATGACGTCCTGCCACGCGGAGTCAGTGTGAAGAGCAAATCGGCTCATAATAGACATTCCGTAGCCTTCGATCGGCGTGAGACGCGGAAAACCCAAGAGGTCAATACGGTAACCAGCCCAAGAAGGTATGGCTTCACGTGGAAACCGGAAGAGCTTGGCAATGACGGAGTCCTGTCGGGTCACCAACGACACAGGTGGGTCGAGAAATTGAAGCTCGTAGCTCAAAACTGTCTGGATGCGAACGTTGTACTCCAAGATGTTTTGCGTCATCGACTCGTGAGCCTCGCCGAGCTGAAATAGACGGTGCTCGAACTTGCTCGTAGGTTTGGCCCATTGCATGGCGCCTGCGCCTTGTCCGAGAAACGCCACGAGATACTCGAAGAACGCATCAATTCGAATAGGGGCCCAATCTGGGATATTGAGGTGCATCCACTCCCGAATCAGATCGACCAATGCCGGCGTGAAACGCGCACCCGCGGGAGACATAACGCACATCTTCAGCTTTCCGGCGAGGCCCGTCGCGCTTTTGACGAGGGTGTACAGAGCGTGGATGCGCGTCAAGGCCCGGATGTCCCACATGGAGATGCCGACGTCGTCAGCGCACATCCGGAAAATGCCTCTTCCCGCGACCGCTGCGCGAAGCCCAAGCACAAGCGGATCGGCGCCTAGGACAAAGAAGATCGAGCTAAGCGGATCTCCTTGCAATACCCCCGAGTAGATGATGAAGCATGGCATCCAATGCCCATCAACACGGATAACAGTCACGGCAAAGTCGCACATAGAATGGAACAAACCAATGACGAAGTGGGGCCAGCCCTGGGACACGAGCCTTTTGAGCAGCCAGCTGTGCGCCACTGAGACAAAGGCCGCGCCGTAGTCCATGGCGAGGCCGATGGGGGGGAAACTTCCCAGCGGGCGATAGGACGCCTGTACCACGCGCGCGTCCAGCTCGACAATGTCGTCCGCAAGTTGCCTTTGCTTCACGAAGCCGCGCTGCTCAGGCGGAGCCTGGGCAGTGAGGGAGGGGTTCATCATGAGCGCCATGCCGCCAGCGATCACTTTGGCGTCCGCGTTGCGGCCGCTCAGGGGGCGCAGGTTGTCTGGGGAACGGATGACCTCGACGGTGTCATGATCGTGCTGCCCCTTCGGAGGCGTCGCGAGCGAGGAGTAAGCCATGGCGCGGAGAGGCAGCACGCCCTGGTAGCACAACTCGGCAACCTCAGCAAATGATTCGATGACAGTGGAGTTCAGGAGAGCTGGGTAGGGGATGCCATCAGGACCAGGACCAGAGCGAGAGCGAGACCTCAAGTACCGGTAAAAGGGGGCGCAAGGAGCTCACGTCCCAACGCCGGCCGAACTTCGCCAGGAGCTCGTGTTGGGCATCCTCGGAGACATCCTTGGCCATGAACTGCTTCGCCCAGAATGTATGAATCGCCTCCTGCTGTTTGTGCGCATCGCGCTCGATATACGAAGAACCGTCAGCCTGGGCACTTGCAGCCCAGACAAGACTATAAACTTCGCACTGGGAACCCAGAGATTACGGTATCGTAAGTTGCGGCATTGGCGGGACTTGGAGTGCTTCCTCGTCGTCGCGTTGGCGTCTTCCGTCTGGAACTGCCTGGTTTTGGCTTCAGCCATGGCCGCCTCGAACCTGGCGGGGTCACGTAGTCGAACAGAGCCCTGGTAGATCTCCATGCGTTGGAGAGCTTCTGGTTACTGTCTCGCCAGAATGTCGTGGAGGTGGATATCATTGCGCCAGACGCACCTGGAAACTGTGGTTAACAACATAAGTGTGGTCCAATTCTGCCCTCCCCGCTGTACTAGCAAATGGCGGACCTTGATGGAGGCGACCTTCAGCGCGGATTTGGCGGCGAGGAGCTTGTCAACGCCGCGGAAATGTTGTATGTTGGCGTGCTGCATCCATTGCGTGGCAAGCGCATGAAACACCGGATTCTTGGCCGCACCCCAAGGGGTACGGAGCAAAGGAGTAGGGATCGGAGTTGGAGATCGCACCTCAATATTGTACGGGGCGTGGTCCGAGATGTCCTGCCAGGCGCAATCCATCGGGGCCAGTGGGACGGAAGGCTCGACGTGCAAGTTGATCATGCCAGAGCTGGGTACAGCCAGGAAGGTGCGGTCAAGAGTGTACAACGAGTTGGAGGATTTGTGGTAGTGCGTGAAGTGCGGCGAACGTATTTCGATCAGGTGGTCCATCCCTCGGCAGAGGGCCCGCTCGGCCGCAGACTGGTTGCGAGGGGCATGGGGTCGCGGGAGTTCTGGTCGTTCGAGATAGTGGCGGTCCGCACATGGAGGCCCGATGTTCCAGTCCCCAGACCAGAGGGCAGCACGCTGTTCAGGTCGCTCGGTCATCCATGCCCAGTCGGCCGCCATTCTATTACGGATATCGGTGCACTGGGCGTTCGTGATGCCGAAATTGTGGATGTTGACGAAGCGTATCTCCATGCTGTTGTGCTGGACCCAGGCTGTGACTACGCCGCCAGATATTTCATTGGAGGTCGGGGAGTATTCAAAATCGAAGCGGTGAGCCAAAGGGCGGAGCAAGTCACGAACATATTGTTGGTCACCGTGAACTTTTGAAGGAAGAAAACGTCCACGTCCCTTAGCTGGAGGACAAGGCGGTCGAGTTTCTCCTTGGCCTTCCATGGAGAAGCATTCGCAAGCGTCTGCACATTCCAAGTCACGTGCTGAAATCTCGGGTGCGTGCGATCAGGCGGCCGCCCCATCGCCAGGAAACGGCTAAATTGAGTGCATAGTCCAACCAGCCGGAGCAGCTGAAGAAGAACCGGCGCTGGAAGAAGAGTGCATCGCGCGGCATGCCGCGATAGCTGTGTCCATGGTCTCCTTGGGGATGGGGGTGCTGGACAGCTCCAAGTCGTTGACCCAGATGTTCGCGCGGTTCGTGGAGTCGTCCAAACGGCCCTGGGCGATCCAGGTAGTTTTATGGAAGAGGGAGCAACACTTCTTGACGTAGGCAAGCTGGCCAGCGTGCTCAGGGAGCCACGATTGAAGATCGCGGTACAGACGTTTGGACAGCATCTGAGGTGCACGTTCTGCTAGAGGTACGTCAGGGGATAGATAAGCCCTGACATCGCCGCCAGGCTTATTGATATGAATCGTCTTCCACATCCCAGAAGCATCGCGGCACTGTGCAAGGATATCCTTGACAGCCCTGGCGGCGGCGGTAGGCGTGCCATCCAGGCGGACCACAAAGTTCTTGTCCACAGCGCTGCCCATGGTGGGGAGGCGCTTCTCAGCAACGTTGGCGGCCTTCGCAAGCTTGATTGCGAGGGCGTGGGCCTCAGTATGTGAGACGAAGTCCGCGGTGTTGAGCTTGATGACTGTGGGGTCGCACTCGGTCGGGGGTAGATGACGTAGTGCCTCCCGAATCTCGGCCCTAGTGGAGGCCGTGGGTTGCTCCGCGATGCCCATGCGCTTGGACAGGTCCTGGACCTGCTGCTTGAGGAGTTCCTGCTCGTGCTCCATGCGCGAGATGCTCGACGAGACAGTGGCGACCTGCGCGGCCTGCGATGCGAACTGCTTCTGATAGGCCTCGTCCTGCTTGGAGAGGGCCCGGGCCATGACGACGTCCACTTGGGCGAACTGCTTGGCAGCAGCAGCCGTAGCAGCCTCAGTTGCGACATCACGGATGGCGTCCATGGCGGTCTGCTTGACGTCCTGGGCGAGAGCATCGCGGACCAGAGTGAAGAACCGCTCGTCAACCTTGCCAGCGTCGTCGTCGTCGGAGTTGTCCGCAGGCGTAACGAAACCAGATGCATCTTGGTGACGGGCACGTTTATCACGACCTTGTTCATCAGCCATTGTTGATCCTCAAGCCCCCTTCGGGAGAGTGCACAGACAAGAATGAGACACAAGAAGGCGCAGAGAGCGCGTAGCATGCACCGCGCAGGCGGCAGAGATGTGGAATTGGGAGAGAGTACAATCCGCCAGCGCACGACACACTGGATGGCTCGAAAGTTTGAGCTGCCCGCTCAAGTCTTGAGTGGACTTGAGCGGGCAGCTCAAATGATGATGATGATGATGATGATGATGATGATGACGAGGAGGAGGAAGAGGAGGATGAGGAGGGGAGATAGGAGCGGGATGCGGCGGAGGAGGAGGAGAGGAAGGAAGGAAGGAAGGAAGGGAGGAAGAAAGGAAGGAGGGAAGGCGGGGCGCTGTCTCTCCAAAACGAAGACCCTACACCACAGGATGATTGGGGAACAACTCCCCCTCGTCCTCCTATTCCTCCTCCTATTCATCCTCCTCTGGCTCCTCCTCGCCCTCGCTCCCGCCGCCTCTCCTCTCCTTTTCCTCCTCCTCCTCATCATCATCCTCCACCTCCTTCTCCTCCTCCTCCTGGCCGCGGCAACGAAGGAGTTGGTCAGCCCGCTGCCGCCGCGCAGACCCACTTGGACTTCGCCTGGTCGTAGAAGCTCCAGGCCTCGGGACCAAGCACCATGGTGACCGTCTCAGAGCCCCCAGCCGGCACCTGAGCGAGGATCAAAAACTGGCCTCACACTTAAGTAAGGCCTGTCCCCCTACAGGCGGATTTTTGACGAAAAAATTGAAATACCGCAAACGAATACACTGAACATGTTCAACAATGGTCAAAACATAGTCCCCAGACTATATGTTGACTGTGTTTGAACATTCCCCCTATGGAGGGACGGGCCCGACTTAAAACCTTACACAAGATGGCATAACGACCTGACGCCGCGCTCAGGCGGGCCGCCAACGCGGCACGCCACGAGCTGACACGGGCAGCATACCTTGCGCGACAGTGTCGGCGCAGTCGGCCTCGTTTTCCCTCGTCGCTCACCTGAACCTTCTGGAAGCCACGGAGCTGGAAGAGCGCTGGCTTCAGGCTGGGGAAGCCGACGTAGACCTGCGTCACGTCGGAGCCGTCGTGCTTGCCGACGTTGCTAACCTCCACAGCCCAAGCCCCGCCCCGCCTGCCTCCTCTCGCCGTGGCTATGACCGCCCAACTGTTCTGCAAACAAAGCTCCACCTCCTCCCACTCCCCCCCTCCCCCCAGGGGGGACGGAACTAGTGGATTGCAAGGACATGGTCAGGGTGTCCGCCGCACGCAGCCGGATTTCCCTGCGCCTCCGAGGGCCATGCATCGAGAATCGCGCTGCGCGGCGCCAGAGCTCGGATCCCCTGTTTCCAGATGCACGCCCCCCCCCACACCCCCTCAAAGACCGACCGCCGTACTGTCAACCAGTATAGTAAGGATGCGCGATAAGGATACATGGGCCTTGGACGCCCATTTCGAAGGTTTGCTAGCGGGGCGCCGCCAGCGAAAGCGGCAAAGGATGGACCGAGGAGGCAAGGATGCAAGGGTACCCTTGGGAAGGTTGCCCATCCTTACTATGCGGGTTGACTGTACGTCTCTCGAAAAGCACTCCGACCTCTGGCCAGAATTCCGAGGTGTGCCCCGCGGGGGCCACCCGAGGCCTCCTGGAGGTCTCAAAGCATTGCCGAATTATCGACGGTCCGTGCCAGAAGGACGCACGAGAAGGACGCAAGGGCGTTGGACGCCCATTTCGAAGCTTCTACGGCGGAGCGCCGCGGCCAACGAAAGTGGCCAAGGATGGATCGAGGAGGCAAGGAAGCGAAGCACCCTTGGGAAAGTTGCCCATCCTCACTGTGCGGGTCGACTGTGTCGCCAGTCCTCCCTTCTTCTTCCCGAACCTCCTCTCGTCCCTCGAGCCGCGAATGTGAGCGTTGTTACTTTGGCGTTTCGACATTGGGCGGAAGGGGGGGGAGAGGGGGGGGTCTGGCTCCGGACCTCTGCTTAGTGCGACTGTTTGCGGCAGTGCGTCCTGTGGGGGAGGCTCCAGCTGCCCGAAGCAGGCGCCCAAAACAGCCGAGATCTGCTCCACGGGGGGGGCGGGGAGAGGGAGGGGGGGTATGGGGGCCCGCGCCGATCGGCAAAACAATACATAAAAACACGATCACGCAACCTCCTCTCGTCCCCTGAGCCGCGAATGAATCACAACGGGAAGTGTCTGCCCACGCTCGGGCTCCAGGGGCCTTCCGTGGGGAGGCGCGGGCCACGAGGTCGGCCGCGGCCGCGGCGCAGCCCTCGGGGCGGACGAGGAGGAGGAGGAGAAGACGTGGAGGGAGGAGGCGTGGAGAGGAGGAGGAGGAGGAGGAGGGTGAGGAGGAGGAGCAGCAGCAGGATGGGAAGGAGCAGGAGGGGCCCTCACTGAGCCCTGCTGGTACGCTCAACGGAACTACTCGGGATGAAGACCGCTGCTCTGGGGAAAGGTACAGACCTTCAGAGGTTTACGTTGTTGTCCGCGGGGGGGCGAGTGTTGTGGGTGCCATCACAGTCGACACTCCAAAAGTCCTACAATTGAATACAAACTGTGTTGAAGTTGTTGAAAGATGTGCTTAACAGGTGTTCACCAATATCTACATTTGTACATCATGGTTTAAACATTATTCTGACATGTGAATGTCATTATGCAACATGCCTCCTTTCGATTGATCGTCCTCCACAGCCCGAGTGGGGCCAACAGGCTGCGGCTATCAGGTTTGCTGCTCCCTGCTCCAGACCGAAGCTCAAGTCTCCCATGTTATGGCCCTGCTTTATGCTTCATTCTGCAAACTGCTGGAGTCCGCGAGAGGGGAGAGCTCCACACCACCCTGTAACGACGCCATCGGGGTGGTCTCAGAGTTCCTTGGGGAGCCGTGGGGCCCGAGAACATACATGAGATTCGCGCCCCCGAGGCAGGACACCCTCGTAAGTTACACGATGCTCGCGTGCCCGAGACCATACGCCAGAATAGAAGACACAAATATCGCATCCCCGAGGCCACGATCCCCGCAAATTGCACAAGTGTCGCGTCCCCGTGGGTACGGCCCCACGCCAATTACACCGCATTGGCATCCTCGAGGCCAGAGCACCTCGTAGGACATCTGATGCTCGCGTCCTCGAGGCCATAAGGCATCGTAGATTGTTCAACATTTGCATCACCGAGGCCACGATCCCCGGTAAATTATGCAACGCTCGCGTCCCCGAGGGCAAGGCCACTCGCAAATCATGCAATAGTCGCCTCACCGAGGCCCACGGCCCCCTGTACCTTGCGCAATACTCGCGACCCCGACGCCACGATCCTTCATACATTACACCATACCTGCATCCGCGACACCAGAACCCTCCCTGTAAGCTGCACACCATTCGCGTCCCCGACGCGACGATCCTTCACACCCTACGCCATACCTGCAGCCGCGAAACCAGCACCCTTTCTGCAAAGTGCACACGATTCGCGTCCCCGACTCCACGATCCTTCATACACCACGCTTTCTGCAAAATGCGCACGATTCGCGTCCCCGACGCCACTGGGGAGACCAAAAGGTACCGATACCGCTACTCCCCGGACCTCTCCTGGGGTGCGTTCTGACCAGGATTTCGAGGCGAACCAAGCGGTGGCGATGAGGGCCGCCCAGGAGGCCCAACAAAAAGGAAAACGAAGGAAGGGTAGAGGTATGGGTGCCGTTTCCTCCTCTGGATGCCCGCGTCCCCGAAGCCATGATCCGTCGCAACATATGCAGTGTCCGCGTCCTCGAGGCCACCAGCCATGGCAACACATGTACGACGTTGGCACCACCCGGGCCCGACCCGAGGCCGCGGACCCCTTCGTGCACTGCACAGCGTTTGCGCCGCAAAGGCCGCTCCCCCTACTATGAAGGGACCCTGGGACACACAATAAATAGACACACACACACACACACATAACAGGATTCCCCATATGTTCCCATGATTTCGGGGAATTGTGTCTGTGTGCTTTTTTTCCCTCCTGACTACTATCAATTCAAGATCCGCGCCCCCCAAACCACGGCCCATTGCACTGTACGCTCTACGTGTGCCCTCGAAGCCATGGCCCCATGTGGCTTGCATAGTGGTCGCGCCCTCGACGCTGAAGACCATCGCAAGTGGCTCAAGAGTTGCGTCACCGAGGCCACGATCCCGTGTCAAGTACACCATGTTCGCGTCCCCGAGGCCACGACCCCATCCTTATCATACAATAATCGCCCCCCCGAGGCCACGCTGTGTCGTAAACGTTCGCGTCCTCGAGGCCATCAACCATTGTACTGTATACCATCGTCACCATGGCCACGATCTCTTGTAATTACCAATATTCGAATCCTCCAGGCCACGATTACGCTGCATTCGCGCCCCCGAGGCTACGACCCCTAGCCACGACCGCATGCTCGCAACCCGAAGCCACGACCATCAGCAAATTCGCAATGCGAACCGTCGGTATTCGAGAGATGCGTTTCAATGTTGCTGGGCAAGCCGTGACGTACAATATTGGCCCTCGCGTAAAGTTCCGACATTGCTTCACGACGGCGCCCTTGCATCCCAACTTAGCTCTGGCATGCCCCATTCTAAAACAAAGGGGGCCAACGGCAATGGGCGAAGTCCTCACGGATCAGACCACGACGTCGGAGGTCTGCGATCCCCTCAGTAGGGTGCTTCACGACTCGCGTTGGCACTTGCACGGCTTCTCCCGTTGGATTTGGATGTGGCTCGACTTCTCTAAGCAGGTGGGCTGCAGTGAAGAGGCCCTGGGACGCACACATAAAAAGACACACACAACAGGATTCCCCTATTTGCCCACGTCTTCTGGGTTTCTGCCTTCCCCCGACGTCCCATATTTTTCCGTGCTGTCTGGGGAATCGACGATGATTTGTGTCTGTGTGTGTCTTTCCCTCCTGATGAAGAGCAGTCGTCAAGCCCGCAGGGACTTCCCCGTGGCCTGCAGCGTGACCGTCACACCCTTCCCGCTGGGCTGGACGGCCGGCGTTCCGTACTGGAACTCCTCGTGGGATCCCACCACCAAGTGCCCACCCGTCTGGTGTTCTCCTCCTCCTCCTCCTCCTCCTCCTCCCTCCTCCTCCTCCTCCTCCCTCCTCCCCACTCCTCCCCATCCCCCTTCCTCCTCCTCCCTCCTCCTCCCTTCCTCCTCCTCCCTCCTCCTCCTCCTCCTCCTCCCTCCTCCTCCTCCTCCTCCTCCTCCTCCTCCTCCCCCTCCTCCTCCTCCTCCTCCTCCCCTCTTCCTCCTCCTCCTCCTCCTCCTCCTCCTCCTACTCCTCCTCCTCCTCCTCTCCCCCTCTTCCTCCTCCCTCTTCCTCCTCCTCTCCTCCTCCTCCTCCTTCTCCTAATCCTCCTCCTCTCTCCTCATCCTCCTCCTCCTCCTCCTCCTCCTCCTCCTCCTCCTCCTCCTCCTCCTCCTCCTCCTCCTCTCTCCTCCTCCTCCTCCTCCTCCTCCTCCTCCTCCTCCTCCTCCTCCTCCTCCTCCTCCTCCTCCTCCTCCTCCTCCTCCTCCTCCTCCCTCCTGATCCTCCCTCCGTCTCGCCCATTCTCCCCATTCTTCTCGCCTCCCCTTCATCCTCCGCCCATTTCCTCTTCCTTTTCGTCCACTTCTTCCGTCTCCTCCTCCTCCTCCTCCTCATGATCCTGAGTGCTCAGTCCGCCATCCTCCTTCTGCCTACGTAGAAGGTACTCGAACACATAATGCATAAGTTATGGACTGTCGCGTAGACTCTGCAGGGTCGCGCCACGGCCAATAACACAACTAACATCGAACAAAAAGCAACGGGCGTCACAACTAGGCACAAAACAAGGTTCAACCTGCAGCAAGGACGTGCGCGACAACGCAGGACCGAAACATGCGGTCCTGGATAACGTGACGGTGGCTGTGCTGATGGTTCGTCTGGCGGCTGTGTTGGTGGTTGTGCCCGTTGCTGTGCTGGTGGACATGCTGGTGGTCGTGCTGGCAGTTGTGTTGGTGGTCGTGCGATGAATTGCGCTGGTGGTTGTGCTGGTGGTTGTGCTGATGGTCGTGTTCGTGGTTGTGCTGGTAGTCGTGCTGGTGGTTGCGATGGTAGTCGTGCTGGTGGTGGCGCGTCTGGTTGTGTCAGTGGTTGTGCTGGTGATCGTTCTGGTGGTTTCTCTTGTGGTTGTGCTGATCGGTGTGCAGGTAGGTGTGCTGGTATGTGTGCTGGTAGCTGTACTGGTGGCTGCGCTGATGGTTGTGCTGGTGGTTGTTTCGGTCATTGCGTTGGTGGTTGCGTTGGGTGTGGTATTGGTGGTTGCTGGTGCGTGTGCTGGTGGTTGCGTTGGTGGTTGCGCTGGCCGTTGTGTTGGTGGTTGTGCAAGTGGTTGTGATTGTGTTTGTGCAGGGTTGAGTCTGCTGTTTGTGCTGGTGGTCGTACGGGTGGTTCCGCTGTTGGTCGTGCTGGCGGAACAACATACCACCAGCGCAACCGCCGACGACCACCAGCGCGACCACCAGCACACCCAGCAGCACTACCACCAGCACCGCCACCAGCATGTCAAACATCGTAAACACCAGCAGCAGTACCAGCACGACCACCAGCACGACTGCCAGCACAACAGCCTCCAACTCGACAGCCAGCACCACGACGTCATCGCAATTACAACTGACCAGCTACGCTATTGATTAAGACCCGCACAGCGAGCGCACAGCGTTGGTTAAAACAACGAATGTAAAGATTCTGAATGGGCTCGCGAGGCCAAGCCCGGACATGCCGCAATGTTTCGTTAAACTCCCTGCCCTCCCCCTCCTTCTCCTCCTCCATCATCTTCGCTTCAAATCCCCATTCAGCCGCCCCTCTTCCACATCCCTCCTCGCCCCCCTTTTTCGTCCTCGCACCTTTCTGCCTTTTCCTCCTTCTCCTGCGACCGACCGCGCACCAGTACCCTGCACACCTGAGCTGAAACCACTCGTTGGGCTGTCACCCAACGTCCTTGCTGTTCACGCACGACACGCCCTCCGGTCTCTACCGACCCGCCACGAACTCCTCGCCTCCGCCGCCAGCAGGTCCACCGCCAGCAGCCTGGACCGCTCGGCCGCGCTCGCCGGCAACTCAACTCAGCGCCCGCAGCGTGCTGGCCCCGAGCGCAAGCAGCGCAGTCTGCGCGACGGTCCGCGCCACGGCCGCCTCGATGTCCACCCAGAGGGTTGCAGCTGACGTCGCCCAACCCACTCGCGAACTGGGAACGGACTGTGACGTCGATGAGGGAGTGCTGTAAGGACGCCTGCCACCACGCCAGCAGGTCCACGATGCTCTCGTGGACCTCAGGACCTTGCCGTCCTGGACGACGTACAGCTCTGGCACCTGCCGCTCGATGTCCACGGAAGCCGGCTATGGCATCGCAGGCGTTGCGCAGCGAGCACGCCACGCCTCGCTGAGGCGGCGCCGCCTAGCCAAGTCTCGTCTGGGTGGCCCCGCGCCCACTGCGCAGTGGGCGTGCGCAGGGCAGGGGTAGTGGATCCCAGAAGCTGCCTGCTCCCTCCCCACCTCTGGGGAGCATACAGGTCTGCCGGTGCTCGGGGAAAGCTGCGAGCAGGTCCGTGGCGCCGAGCGCCGAGATGCCGCGCGTGGTCCTCCTGTAAAGGCGTGGCCGGCGAGGGCACAAGAGAGCATGCGACTGCGGACAGGAGGGTCCTCCTCCTCCACCCGCGCCGGCGGCAGCAGGGTGCGGGAAGCCGAACACTGCCGCAGAGGGCGTGCCGCTGCACCACGGCCCAGCGTCGTGACGCCTCCTCGCGGCAACGCCGAACGCCCTGGGAGACGTCGACGCGGCCTGCCAGCGGCACCCCTGCTGCCTCTTGCCCAGCCGCCGCAGCGGCCGCACTGCCGCGACTTGGTGCGCCCGGCTCCTGGGCCAGGCGCCGGACTGCAGCGGAGTGGACCGCCTGCGCCGCGCGGAACGCAGCAGCTGCGCGCTCGCGCGTCGGCAGAGACAGCGTCGAATCTGATGGGCCTGTTTTCCACCTCCGCCACCATGAGTTGGAGGGGGGAAGGAGGAGGAGGAGGAGGAGGAGGAGGAGGAGGAGGAGGAGGAGGAGGAGGAGGAGGAGAGCAGGAGGAAGAGGAGGAGGAGGAGGAGGCGAGGAGGAGGAGGAGGACCCCCTCCCCTTCCTACTTGTGGTGGTGGCGGTGGAGAAGAAGCCCACCCAAATCACCAGGCTCGCCTGGCAGTGTGGCTTGCTCGAGCGCCTGCGTATTGCGCGGCGCGCCGCCGAGCTCCGCAGTGGTCGGCGCGGTTGCCCGGCGGAGGGGGGCCGCATGCGCCCGCCTCCAGGGACTGCCGTGGGCACGAGCGCATGTCGTGTTCCAGGGCGCGTGCGACCGCCTGTTGGAGAACTGTTGGAGGACCCTCCTCCCCCTCCTCGTCCTCCTCCTCCTCCTCCTCCACCTCCTCCACCTCTCCCACCTCCTCCTCCTCCTCCTCCTCCTCCTCCTCCTCCTCCTCCTCCTCTCCTCCTTTTCCTCCTCCTCCTCCTCCTCCTCCTCCACCTCTCCCACCTCCTCCTCCTCCTCCTTCTCCTCCTCCACCTCCTCCTCCACCTCCGCCCACCCAGAGGGCGGGTTAGGGGTATCAGGCCACTTGGGAATCGTTGTTGAAGGCCCCCGCCCGCCAGTCAGGCGCCCCTCCCCCCCGTCCGCAGCCCAGCTCTACTCCCACCGCGCGAGGGAGACGGCTACAGACGGCTGTGGCAAACCCCTAAAGCACACCCACCACCAAAAAGCCTCCCTCAAAGGCCCCCGAAGCCAACCTTCCTGCTAATGCATCCTCCTCCTCCCCCTCCTTCTCTTCCACATCCCCACCCTCCTCCTTCTCCTCCTCCTCCTCCTCGTCCACTTCCCACCTGCCTCACCACCTCCCCTCACTCCTTCTCCGTCGTCCTTTCCTTGCCTCCTCTCTCCCATCCTCCTTTTCTCCTCCTTCTCCTCCTCATCATCCGTCTCCTCCTCCATTCTTCTCCTGTTGGGGGCCCAGGGGGGAGGAAGGAATGATTCCAAACAGATGGAGAGGTATGTTGGCAGTCCCTCGGCTCCGTGTAGGAGAGCCCGAAACCGAAGGCGAAGGCGGAGGGGACGCCCTTGGCGACGTTCCAGCGGTACCCCACGAGGACCCCCTGTCCCGCGAGCATGGCGAGCATCAGGGGAAACGGTGAGGAGGGGGATAGGAGGGAGTTGGAGTTGGACGTGCTACGGTGTAGTAGCGCAGCGGGTTAGGGGGCGGCCAGGACTTAGAGTCCCAACCGCCCACGGATTTCACAAAACTAGGGAGATGGCCCATCAACTGAAACTGCCTCCTGCACAACAGGGGGATGGGAGGAATGAAGGAAGGGTAGGAGGGAGGGAGGGAAGAGGAAGACAGGGAGGAGCATGGAGGAAGGCAGGGCAATAGCAATACGTAGCATCCCGCAGATGCAGATGAGAGTGAGGGGGCGGTGGGGACGTCGACAGTCTGCGAGACTCTGGAGAAGCCCGCCGCAGGCGCCAAAGTTTCACAAGTTATGCAACGAGCCCGCCGCAAGCGCCGATTTCGTCTCCAGAGCAATGTGGGTCGGTCGCGGGTGGGTCGCGGGTGGGTCAGGGGGGGGGTCTCGGGTGGGTCGCAAGTGGGTCGTGGGTGGGTCGCGGAAAGGGACGCGGATGGGTCGCGGGGTGGGTCGCGGTGGGTCGTGGGGTGGGTCGCGAGGTGGGTCGCGGGTGGGTCGCGGGTGGGTCGCGGGATGGGTCGCGGGGTGGGTCGCGGGTTGGGTGGCGGGTGGGTCGCGGGGTGGGTCGCGGGGTGGGTCGCGGGGTGGGTCGCGGGGTGGGTCGCGGGGTGGGTCGCAAGTGGGTCGCGGGTGGGTCGCGGGGGGGGGCGACGACAACAAACAACAACAACAACAACAACAACAACAACAACACCAACAACAACAACAACAACAGCAACGACAACAACATCAACAACAACAACAACAGCAACAACAACAACAACAACAACACCAACCTCAACAACAACAACAGCAACAACAACAACAGCTACAACAACAACAACAACAACAACAACAACAACACCAACAAGGACAACAATAACAACCACAACAACAACAACAACCACAACAACAACAACCACAACAACAACACCACCAACAACAACAACGACAACACCAACAACAGCACCAACAACAACAACACCAACACCAGCAACAACAACAACAACCACAGCAACAACAACAACCACAGCAACAACAACAACCACAACAACCACAACAACAACACCAACAACAACATCATAAACAACAGCAACACTTACAGCAACAACAACAGCAACAACACCAACAACAACAGGAGCAACAACATCAACAACAACACCAACAACAACAATCAATTCAAGACTGTTCGCTCTTATCTGCCCGAGTGTCCGTTAACGCGTATTTCCCAAACCCTCGATACCCGCCCTCGTCGTCTTCGATCGTACCCTTTTTGAGGGGTATACCTTGCTTCCCAGCAGGCCGGGCCCTGGCAAGCGGCGGGGCGGCCGCGGACCGTCGGCCTGGCCAGCGGCAGCGCTGATCGGCGGCAACCTGAACCCAAGAGGGACGGACAGGGGACCGACCACGACGACGACGACGACGTCGACGACGACGTCGACGACGACGACGGCGACGACGAGCGAAACCGAAAGCGAGAGAGAGAACGACAGCAGGGCCACGAAGGGCACGAAGTAAGCCACGAAGGGCGACAGCGGGGACACGAAGGGAATGAGTATGGGGCCACGAAGAGCACGAACGAGGGGGGGCCACGAAGGGCAGATAATGCGGGGCCACAGAGAGCAAGGACGGGGCCACTGAGGGTAGCGACTGGGCCACGTAGGACAGCGAGGAGGCCACGAAGGGCGACAGCGGGGCCACGAAAGGCATGCACATGGGGCCACGACGGGCGCGAACGAACGGGGGCCACCAAGGGCATACGTATAGTGGGCCGCGGAAGGCAAGGACGGGGCCACTGAGGGCAGCAACGGGGCCACGAAGGGCAGCGAGGGGGCCACAAAGGGCGACAGCGGGGCCAAAGGTCATGCATATGGGGCCACGGCGGGCGCGAACGAGCGGGGGCCACGAAGGGCATACTTATATGGGGCCACGACGGGAAGCCCACGAGGGGCTGCAACGGGGCCACGAAGAGCAGCGAGGGGGCCACAAAGGGCTGCAACGGGGCCACGAAGGGCTGCAATGGGGCCACGAAGGCGTGCAACGGGGCCAAGAAGGGCAGCGAGGGGGCCACGAAGGACTGCAACGGGGACACGAAGGGCAGCGAGGGAGCCACGAAGGGCTGCAATGGAGCCACGAACGGCAACGAGGGGGCCACGAAGGGCTGCAACGGGCACACGAAGGGCAGCGAGGGGGCCACGAAGGGCTGCTACGGGGCCACGAAGGGTAGCGAGATCCCGATTCCTAAATAATATGTGAGGGAGTCCTAAGCGTGAGCGCGACTCCTGAGTGCCTGAGTGTCGGGAGCGCGGCGCTTGAGTAAATTGCAGGAAATTCGAACGCAAGGGGAGCAAATTGAAAGTAAGTGTCCAGCGAAAGCTCGACTCCAGAGCGCCGACAGAGCGATTCCTGAACAAAAAAATGCGAGGAAGTCCAAAGCGAGAGCGCGATTCCTGAATCAAATGCCAGGAAGTCTCAGGCGGGAGCGGGGGTCCAGGCTAAATTGCAAGAACGTCTCCAGCGGGAGCCGTTGTTGTTGTAACCCGGGGGCCAGGGGCACAGTTTGAGTCTCAAAACTTTCACTGATAAAAAACCGGGTGCGAACCCCGGGAAGGGTACTTCAATTGAAAAAGACAATGTGCACCGGAGGGGGGATCAACAATAATTATTCTTCAGTAACGAAAATTCAACGCAACGAGCAAAACCCTCACCATGAATTCTCACTTCAGCCGCGCACTTATGGACAATGAATGACCGTTCGCCCCCCTCACTCTGACTAGTACGAATTATAATACAACGATGACGATAGCAACAGGGATAAGCAAACAAGTGATAATAGTAGCCATAAAAGATAGCACCAAACCCAACGATGCTGATATGAGTATTGTTGGAGCGCTGAGAACCATGCTTTTGGAAACACTGATACTTCAAACGGCTACGGGAAATTATAGCTTTGGCACGAATAATGAAGATACTACTATCGTCCGACTGATATCATACTGAAGCTCACAAGGACGATTGGCACGAATAACAATACTAAGAGTAATCATCATCGTACTAATAGGACACGCACTGAATCAGATGAAAAGTCATACTAATACGAATGACAATGCGAAGGATACATTAATGTTAAAAAACAAATGATAGTCGGAGGTCTCGGCCCCCTCTATCTTAACTCCGGCTCCCATGCACGCCGAGTCGCCGACAATCCCTCCCTACCCCTTCCTCCCCCGCAATTGCACGATATGAATGCGACTTTCCTCTCTCCCCTGGTGGCGTCTGGGAAATACTCGCCCCCCCCTCCGCGTATTGTCTTCTGAACACAGGATTCCCGATACGGCAGGTTCGTGTCGTGTCGACCCAGGCGTTGGTTCCTGACACCGCGGGGATCGTTCAACCTTGAACGATCGGCCATTTCCGCAACGTCCAATCGTTCAACATCGACCGATTCTTGGCCGCCGCCGGCGTTCAACGTTGAACGTCCGCGCTGGGGTCGCCGCCGGTCGACACGACACAAACCTACCGTAGTTGGGCTTTCGTTTGTAAAAACCTGTTCTCGCTGACGTCTGGCCTCCTGTTCGGGCTGCTGCTCCTTCCGAAGCGTGCTCACGCTGCAGCGCCGGCCTCCTTTCCGCGCCTCCGCTCGTTCCGAATCGCAATCCCACCTCAGCGCCAGCGTCATTATTTCCAGCGCCATGCCACGGCATGGTTTTCGGTCCTTCCAAATAGGCCTCAAAATCTGAAAAAATGGCCACCCGAAAGAACCATCGGAAATGACCTCAAATTCGGGGTCGATTCGTTGTCTGGGCCGCAGAAGCCCCCTCCCACTTTAGGGCATCGCCACGCCATGCTATGTCATGCTACGCTTCTTCATTCCCGTGTCTCCGCGTTCTTTATGTTTCTGAACTTTTCAAAATATGCTGTCGCTGAAGCGCTGGCCTCATTTTCGGGCTACCGCTCGTTCCGAAGCGTGCCCCGCTGCAGCGCTAGCCTCATTTCCACGCTTCCGCTCGTCCCAAATCGCGCTCCCACTGCATCGCTGGCGTCATTATTTCCAGCGCCATGGCACGGCATGTTTTTCGGTCCTTCCAACTAGGCCCCAAAATCTATAAAATGGCCTTCCGGGAAAAAAACATCGGAAGTGATTCCACATTTGGTGTCGAGTCGTTGATTTTTGGGGCCGTAGAAGCTTCCCACAAAACTTTTGGGCGTCGCCACGCCATGCTGTGTCATGCTACGCGCTGATCTTCAACATCCTGCTACGCCATGTAATGCTATGCCACGTTGCGACATCCGATGGTGCGAAGGTGGGAGGGGTGGGACGTCAGAAATGACGCGAGCGCGCCTTGCTTTAGGTCGGGCGTGGCTCCCTACAGGCGGATTTTGGACGAAAAAATGAAAATATTCCAAACATGCAAAAACAAATCGAACACATACTTACAACTTCGTCCCCAGACTATTGTTTGACTATTTTTGAGTATTCCTCCTCCCCCCCTCCCCCCTCCTCGTCCCCATCCTCATTACCCTCCTCATTATCCTTTTCCCCAGTGCCTTCTCCTCCTCCTCCTCCTTCTCCTCGTTCGTTTCGTTTTGTGTCGTTTCCTTCGAGGTGGTCCCGCAACCCTGCACGCTGGCGCGCGTGCTCCCTGCGTCCGGACGCCCGCGGCGCTCGCGCCTTGTCGGTTCAGGGATCACAGCGCGTCCAGCATTATGCCCTCTTGCTCCTCCTCGTCCTCCTCGTCATGCTCGTCCTCCTCCTCCTCATCCTCCTCCTCATCTTCGTCGTCGCCCTCCTCCTCCTCCTCCTCCTCCTCCTCCTCATTCTGCTCCTCCTTCTGCTCCTCCGCCTGCTCCCGCTCTTATTCCCCCGTGCCCCTGGCCTTCCCTCGTCCGGCCAGTCAGGAAAGGCACTCGGGAGGTGCCCGCGGGCAGCC